AAAACAAAACGGTGCGTAAAATCTGGCAAACTCGATAAATTCATTGTTGCTAGAATCATTTCGGCGGGAATTTCATGTAGTTACCATTCGCGTGATGGGCTGCTAGTGTATAGTTACCATACGCGTTAAGCGAGTTACCAAACGTGTTAAGCAAGTTACCAAACGCGTTAAGCGAGTTACCAAACGCGTTGAGATCGTTACCGTACGCGTTATAATGCCCCATGTAAGTTACCATTGATATATTTTTCCCTTTTTTTTCGACGGCCACTCATCATTTCGTTTTCCGTCAGCCTCTCAAGCTTCATCACATTCACAGAGCGTTTTCTACTACTGCTGCTGCTCTTAGGATCCCCACACCCACAAGTACCAGTTATCGTAGCTATTTTCGCCACCCCGACGATGGCGGAGAAGATAACGGACTATAATTTCTCGAGCCGAGTTCTGGACAATCAGCTCCCGTCTCTCGTCTTTTTCTACGCGAAACGGTCTGATCCTTGCAGTATGATTCATCCCTTGATTGATCAGGTCGCCGAGAAATTCGCAGGAAGAGCCACCTGTTACAAGATGGAGACTGACGAAAGTCCCACGACGGCGTCCCAATATAACGTCCGAAGAGTTCCCATCGTGAAAACCTTCAGGGCTGGGAGTGAGCGGGAGACTCTCGATGGCTTTCTGAATGATTTGGTCCTGGAGAGAGCCCTCGAGAATCTCATATGATGATCTTCGTGCTCTGCTGTCCTCACTTCGTACCGTCATACCCCGGATATACCCCCATGGGGGGCACTAATAAAACGAGTTTTTTTTAAGGGATGGGCTTATAATATAGTAAATTTATAAGCGCCGGCGTTTATGTTATGACAAAAATGAAATTTGTTTTTAAATATACCAAATCGAAGCATTCACAAAGGCGAATTCACCTGAGTCGAGAACGTTCGGAACTGTGCATGCTATGCGCGTGAAACGGCCAACAAGGCGTGGCAACACGCCTTCCACGCCTTGTTGGCCAGGCCAGGTTCATCGAACGTGAACCTAGCGCATGCCTGCGCACACGTACCTCGCATCACAGCGGCCCAATCAGGGTTGCATGCGATCGTGGGCACGTCGTGGTTCAGCCACGGCGTGCCCATCAACAGCAAGATACCCTGCCACCGAGGCAAAGAGCTGCCCAGCTCAGCTCCTCTGCGGGGAATCTTGGCTGTGGCCACACTTTCCCCGCAGAGGAAGCCGGGCCGCGAAACTGAAGGGGTCTCGGGCGAGGGCTTCATACGGCCCTCATTGTCAACGTTTGGTTCAGTTTCTTTCGTTCGTTTGGCCTGCCTTGGCCATGGCGGGCCTTTCAGGCACGCATTTCTTGTTCCGCCGCCAGCCTGCTGCTAGAGAAAGAACCCGCCAAGACACCAGTGACTGGTCTCAATGGCAGAGGCGCCCTGCGCCCGTCCCTCAGTCACAACCAGTAGCGCCTCCCATTCCTCCAACACCTCCTACGCCTCCTACCCCTCCCGCTCCCCCGGCGCCTCCGATTCCTCCCGTTCCTCCGTCCCCTCCTGACCCGCCTGCTGTTGGTGTTCCGCGACAGGGGGTTCTGCAGCTTCTCCTCCCCCCTGGCTACTCGGCGTTCGACGCCTTCCTGTCCGAGCCTGACCGCAGCGGCGGCGAAGGATCTTCCTCCGCACCGGAGCCACGGTGGGGAGCCCCGGCTGATTGCCCGTTGGACGAATCCGCTACCGGTGCCGACGACGACGTGGAGTTCTGGGCTGCTGACGGTCTCCCCGAGCACCTTCCAATTCCCTCTTTTCCTCCTCCGAATAAGAAAAGGCCTCACCCATCTCGCGATAATCGTGATGCCCGTCCTCCCTCCCCCAGGCACAAGCCGTCAACTCACAAGCGCAACAAATACACGTCGCAGGAGAAGCTGCAATGGATTCTGAAGCTCGAAGCCGGCGACATGAGTGTGCGGCGCATGTCTCGCGTATCCGGCATCTCCCGAAGGTGCCTCACGGAGTGGACGAAACGCAAGGCTGAGCTTGAGGGCGCGCACGGTGCACGATGTCGCCTGCACGGCCGCGGAAGGAGCTCGTGGTATCGCGACATGGAAGCGGAGGTGTACCGTCGGTTTCTCGCCCACCGCAAAAAGTGCCTCGCCGTCTCCATCGCACGACTTCAAAAGTGGTCGCACGAGGTGATGAAGGAGCTACACCCAGGTGAAAAGTGGGCCGGCTCTCAGCGGTGGACTCAGCGATTTCGCCGCCGCTGGAACCTGACGACCAGAGCGAAGACCCGGGTCGGCCAGAAGCTCTCGGCGAGTGAGTTTCATGGTCGTGTTCATGTGTCAATGTGCTCTCGATACACGATTCTTACTCTGTGTTTGTGCTTTCTGTTCCTCCCATCCCGTGTCCCAGACTGCGAGGATGAAGTGAGGAACTTCTGGGCGTTCGTGCGTCACTCCCGCCGCCAGTACCGAATCGAGCTGCCGTGGATTCTAAACGCGGACCAGACGCCACTCTGGCTCGAGATGCCATCCGAACGCACCGTTGAAGAGGTTGGCGCGCGCTCCATCCCCGTCCGCAGCGGCGGCTACCAGAAGGAGCGGGTCACAGTCATGCTCGCCTGCACCGCCAGCGGGGAAAAACTGAAGCCGTGGGTCTTCTTCAAAAGGAAGACCGTCCCGAAAGGAGACTTCCCTTCAGGTATGCACCACACGTCGATTGCGCCGTGGCATGTGTGTTTATAAATTTTCTCTAACATGGTGGTTTTGGTGTGCAGATATCCACGTGGGGGTCCATCCCAACGGGTGGATGGACGCGGACGGGGTCATCGAGTGGCTTGACGGGGCGGTGAAGCCGTACATCAACCCCAAGTTCGGAGTCCGCCCCAAGAAGGTTCTGCTCGTCCTCGATTCGTACCGCGGGCACCTAACCCCGGAGGTGAAGAAAAAGTTTGGCGAGCTCAACGTGGTCCCTGCGGTCATCCCTGCTGGCTGCACCTCGGAGGTTCAACCCCTCGACGTCGCGGTTAACCGCTCCTTCAAGGCCGCCGTCCGCCAGCTCTACCAGGAGTGGTTTGAGCGTGAGGGGGTCGACAGCCTGACGAAGAAAGGTGAGATGTGCAGCCTGTAAGTTTGTGTTTCCTTTATTTAACTCCCTCTAACTTTGTTTCTGGATTTGCGTGGCAGGCAACATCAAGAAGCCTCCTGTCGAGCTGACGCTCAAGTGGATCTCGGCGGCCTGGAAGTCCGTGCCCAAGGAGCTCATCCAACGGGCGTTCCTCACCTGCGGCATCAGCAACGCCCTGGATGGGTCCCAGGACAAGCTCTGCCTGCAACACAGACGAGATGAGCTCGAGGGCGATTTGGTCGACATGGATGATGAAATTGCAGCAGACGGCTTCTTCTGCAACAACGTGGAAGAGCCTGAGTCGGACTCTGACGCCGACCCAGATGACCCCACTACGGCAGATGATCTGCGAGGGTAGATAGAAAATGGTCAAGCCTATGTGAGGCTGGTAGGTAGAAGTACATGAGATGTAAATTGACTATTAGATGTTAAAATAGTGTAAAAGAATGTTTAGATGTAGGTAGATTTGTTTAAATAGTGTTAAAAAGATGTTTAGATGTAGATTTAATATTGTTAGATATCTTCAAAATATAAAAACACTAAAAACAAAGGGGGGCGGTTATAATGTGTACAGCACAGGTATGCGGTTATAATCTGTAAGCCTTTTAGGTATGCGCTTATAATCGAGCACCGGATATAAGCGCCGGGCGCCGATTAAAAGCGCCAGGCGCTTATCCGCGGGTGGCGCTTATATCCGGGGTATGACGGTAATACCTTTCTTGCATTCTGGATAGTCTGCATAAAATGCTGCTGGCGTTTAGGGTTTGTCATCTCTGTATGTTGTGCTGGTTTTGTCTAAAACTGAAAATGCGTTATGGAGGAGTAACTGGTGAAGTTTTGTGTATAAGGACGCCTTAGAAATCACTTGCGCAACAGACTTGTAGAAAACATTTTTGAAACGAGTACACATTGCGCATTGTGATTTTCTTTAACATTCTAGTCCTGAAGGGCTTTTGGACCAAGATGTTATGAGCCCTAAGCTGCTGTAGACGCTGAGCTAGGCGCATGGAATAGTGGGTGTAAATCGACATTGATACTGTTCTGAATTGTTCAAAAAGCAATCCTTGCTAGTGTGCTCAATTGCACTTACACTATCACGGTTGTGATGTGTATCTGTACCGATGCGGAAACGCACATATCGAGATTGAAGATGTTGGAGCCAAACCAAGCTCGAGAGTTTCCCAACCATTTTGAGCCTCTAGCGTCCCGCGTTACTGGGATCTTTATCACACGTGGGAGTCCGTAAGTGGTTACATAACGAGAATGTGGGACCACCTTGTGATTGGTTTGCATACTTCCACTTCCCGCATCTTCGCAAATGCTCTTTGTTCGTCACTCGGCTCCCAAAAACTTTGGAAGAAAGGTTTGTCAGATGACTATCGAAAGTTACAGCGTCACATTTAACTCGTGAGTCTTCGCTCATGGAGGTTTCTTCAATCCTTTCCCCATAAGGATCAGCGATCCTCTCCGAGGTTGCCTTGCTGGTGCTGTTGGTGAACTTCAGGAATCTCCTGAGCTAGCCAAGAAATGAGCTTGTGCAGGCGCAGGTGTTGGCTCTTGTTCCCACAAGAAACTTTCAAGTTCCAACAGAAGGGAAGCAACACCGAATATTATTTTCCAACCACAGCACGTTTTTCGTCTTATGAGCCGCGCACGATTGTTGAGGGTTTAAGGCGACGCGTTCATAACAAACGGCTTCCTAGTTGGTTCGTAGAAGTCTCGTGTGAGAGAAGGTTACGCACGTTTGTTTCTAGTAGCTGAAAGCGTCCGTTTGGCTTTTACTAAAAAGAATATGAAGTCGATAGGGTGTTTGTCGCACAAACCTTTGTTTCTTAGTCTCAAGGTGTGAGTCATATCCCGTTCGTCCGAACCCTTTACGGATACAGCATGGAGGCCAAAGCCGTTTGTTTTCGTCCAAGTAGTGTTCGTGTAGAAGCGATAGGATTGAGCAGTTTGCAACATAGATCTGCTTCCGTGAGGAGGATCTCATGGGCTCGGAGCTCGACGCGGTTCTCTCTTCGTCACGACAGATATAGAGAGAGACGACAGTCGATCACCAGGTGAAGGCCGATTTCAGTCCAGTAAAAGGTCTCCACTTTCTGTTGATCTTCCATTTGACATCATACCATTGTGCTGTAGTTATAATGTTTCAAGTGTTACGTTTTGTGTGTTACGTTTCTTATTTCTGATGTTTGTCACTCCCTTCTGTATTTCCCCGCGCGATTTTTTTCTTGGTCCACTGCTTTCGATCAGGGTTTTCGCATCCTCTACTACCCCTCCCGATTTCTCGGCACGATCATCAAGCGGAGATTTTAAGAGCAGCAACAGCGGCAAATCGCGCGGAGAAAGCAACAGAGGTGACAACGCCGATGGCTCCATGAAAGATCAGCATGATGATCAACCTTCTAGTCCCCTGAATCCTCCCTCTGTGGGTCCATCTCCATCTGTCAGCAAATCGTCTCCGTCCACTCAACCGTCATCTTCTTCAGCCAATCCGCCAACATCACCTTCAGTTGGCCAATCAGGCTCCTCGTCGTCAAACCCTTCCAGTAGGCCTCAGAATCCGAAACAGAATCAATTACCACGCCCGGGTAAAAGTGGTCCGGGCCAAGGATGTGTGGTTAAAACCACCACGCAGTATGGATTGGTAGAAGATAGTAGCATGAAGGAGTATAACCGATCTTCCAATGGAGGAGCAGCCAACTTCCCTGTAGCCGTTGTAGGTTCGGCGATTCCGCCGTCGAGACCATTTTCCAACCCTCCCCCATTTCGGCCTCCTCCTAGTCCAGTAGCCGGGATTGACATGCAGCTAAGACAGCAGCAAGAGCAAGGACAGCGACCGAAACCCGCAATGGACTCCGAATGGATAAACTTCATGTCCCCGGACTGGTATCCAGTCAAGCCTATCTGGCAGGTGCGTTGAGTCTGACGTGGCACTTTCGTGTGAGGTTATCCGTGGTATAGCGTGATTTACACACAGTTGGCTGCTGGTACTTATTGCTGGACCTGCTATTGTCACAGGGTACTGAACAGTGCGTTTTGGAGCAAAAGGACTTGCTCCTCTCGCTTCCTCGTCTCTGGAGGATGATGCTTCTCAGCGATGGCTCAGTTACCCGCCATTTGGAGCTCTTGCTAGGAGAGCAAGTCACGGTAGATTGTGTGGAGATGCGGGGAATCGGTCATGCTCTTCTGGGTTTGCCTCCTGGCACGGCGCTGGTGCCAGGACCACGAGTTCAGAGACAGGTAAAGCTGCAGAACCAGAACCACATGTTGTCCCCTTGATCCATTTCTCATGCAGCCGTTTGTGTGCCATTCGCTTGCGCACTGGTCTCATCACCGCTAATCATAACGTTTAACAGCTGGAAAGTCTTGTTGGCGTAATCATTACACTGGCAGGTCCATCTGAAGCCCCCGTCTGGGGAGGTGTTGGTGTATGCTGCTTCTTGGTGGGCGGCAGAGGAGGTAAAGACAGCACTACCAGCTGTGCAGCAGCCAGTATGGAAGACCTTGCAGCAGCAGAGGACAGAACTTTTTCGCTCACTAGAGCGGCTGTATTATGGGTCCTCTCCTCATCTAGAAAGGTGAGTACTTGTTTGCAATTGTTCTGCTTCATACACGTTCAGTTGCTCGCGAACCTTGCTTGGACCATATGGATTATCGGTGCTCAATGTGTGCCGTAAGTTTGGACGAGGTTGTTTATTTCTCTGAATGGCACTTTTCCTGTTTCTTTGGGATTATGTAATACCGTCTTTTGCAGAATATTTGGAGTACCAGGACCTTTCTGGGCTAGACATTATTTCTTCTACAGTCACGGTCGCCCGCTTACCCTCATTTACGAAGCATTTTCTCCTCGTTTGGATGCTGTTTTAGGGAACAGCAGGTCACCCAACCTCCCACCTCACAAATGACCTAAAGAAAATGGCAGTTAGGGGATAGTCTAGTCTGGCAAATCCAGCACAATTTCTTGCTTACATGTGCTTGTCAATTTCGTAGTGACAAATGAACAGCACATGTTCACATTCGGCCTGTTTGAGTACTTGTTGGTTTGCGGTTTTGGCTAATCTTGTAAAATGGTCATTGTGGAATGGTTTAGTGGTCAATATTGCTGTTTTACACTATTATTTATATGAACCTATTTCTGAGCTTTGAATTTCCTTAGGTTCAATATTGCAGTATGCTTACCCCTCTTATCACTCTTGCTATCCAACAACTGACGAAAACACATGAAATGCATACCGTATTGCGTACGAACCATTCCTCAAACAAAATACCTCCCACCTACCTCACTTGATTCCAGTAGAATTCTGCGACTTGTCACGAAGCACTCTTCTTGTGTGGAACGTGGAATGATCATCGACGGCTTTCTCTTCGCCTCCTGGAAAGAGCTCCATCAAACAGTGGCTTTGTATTGCGTCCATTGCTAATGCGCGTTCTCATGGGCGTGGCAGTTTCCGCTCCCACTCACTGCACCCCGATCAACTTTCCCCAAACCCTGCATTGAACCTTATGTAGCAAGCCTTTCTTAACTGTAACCTTCGGTAGTGTCCTCATTGACGCCGCCCCTAATCGGTAGTGTCCTCATTGCGTCTAACAACGTTTCATTAAAACTGCATCGCTTGCAAGCCACCACCACTGCACTGCACCACACTGAAGTGGACCGAACAATTCCTGCCAAATCCACATTGCACCGCATCCCACATGTTCACAAAAGTATGACTCCTCACCACATCATCAGCGCGTCAGGCAGTCGGGTTTCTCCAAACACGCGTCTTTCCGGCCTCGCAGCCCTGGGAGTGTCGCGGCTCGTAACCCCGCTCGTGCTGTCGACGCTGCTGACGCTCCTGGCAGCGCTAGTCGCAAGGCCGACTATCGCCGCTGCTCGGTACGCGTGCGGGTGGCGTGAGGGTAGTATTTTTCAGGAGTGCTGTGGGATGAGAATCGTAAGTATCAGGCGAGCGGTGCGGGTAAGGGTGGGTGAGGGGGTGGGAGTAGTAATTCTCGACGCGACTCAAAGATCTCCTCCGTACGTGACGCATGCGGGTGAGGGTGTGGCATAAGCGAGTTGGCGTGAGTGAGATGGAACGATGTGCAATGCTGTGTGCTGTGTGCTGTGTGATGTGGAGTGTGGGTTTTGGTTAGCGATAGGTTCTGAGACAGTTTACAAGCTGCTTCTGGGCTTTCTTGAGAGAGAGAAACAAATATTGCTTCTGTTTTCATTCAATAAGGGGGGTTTCTGGACGAAAAATAAGAGTTTAGGGTTTATTCAAGCAGAGGAGGATAGGTGCCGAGCTGGTACGCTCTAGCTCTTCCCTGCATTGTGCAATCATATCATGCCTTCTCCTCCACGTGCCTCTCTCCACCCCTCCCTACCCCACTCCACTCCCCTCTCCACTCCTCCCCACCCCTCACCACCCCTCCCCACCCTCCGGGCACGATGAGGTGCTGCAGTGCCATCCCAACAATAGCACAGGCGATCTCTTCCTCCTAGGCCTCGAGGCAGGCGCTGTTGCTGCAGGCACCGTGCCTTGCCTCCCTCCACCCCTCGCCACCCCTCTTCACCCCTCTGCAGCTCGCTTCACCCCTCTTCACCCCTCTTTTCACCCCTCCACACCCGTCCAGTCACGATGGAGTGCTGCAGTGCCCTGCCAAAGGCACGGGCGACCTCTTCCTCCCAGCTTTGGAGGCAGGCGCTGTCGCTGCAGGCACCGTGCCTTGCCCCCCCCTACATCTTTTAGCCCAGCTTGGACCCACTTCACCCCTCTTCACCACTCCACACCCCTCCAGGCACGATGGAGTGCTGCAGTGCCCTGCCAACTGCACGGGCGACCTCTTCCTCCCAGCCCTCAAGGCAGGCACCGTCACTGCCGGCACCGTGCTTTGCCTCCCTGCACCCCTCTTCACCCCTCTTCACCCCACGTCACACCCTTTTCACCCATCTGCACCCCTCCACACCTCTCCAAGCACGATGGGGTGCTGTAGTGCCCTGCCAATCACACGTGTGACCTCTTCCTCCCATCACTAGAGGCAGGAGCTGTTGCTGCCGGCACCGTGCTTGCGTCCCTCCACCCCTCTGCACCCCTCTCCACCCTCTCTTACCCCCCCAGGCACGATGGAGTGCTGCAGTGCCCCACCAACGGCACGGGCGACCTCTTCCTCCCAGCCTTGGAGGCAGGCGCCGTCGCTGCCGGCACCGTGCCTTGGCACACCACCCGGGGGAAGTTCCTGCTGCTGCACTGCGTTAGAGGACAGGTGGGTATTAGGGAAGGAGGGTGCTGGGGCAGGTGGGTGTTAGGGCAGGTGCAGGTGTTGAAAGGGAGGCACCGTGCCTTGGCACACCACCAGGGGGAAGTTCCTGCTGCTGCACTGCGTTACAGGGCAGGTGGGTTTTGATTTTGACGAAGGTGCGTACTGGGGATGGAAAGTACTGGGGAAGGTGGGTGGGTAAGTCCCGCGCCTTGGCACACCACCAGGGAGAAGTTCCTGTTGCTGCACTGCGTTAAAGGGCAGTTGGGTGGGTACTGGGCTAGGTGGGTACTGGTAAAGGCCAAAACAGGTGGGTACTGGTTAAGGCCAAAACAGGTGGGTACTGGTTAAGGCCAAAACAGGTGGGTACTGGTTAAGGCCACAACTGCTGTTTCTTCTCCTCTCTCTCCCCCAATAACAGATCAGCAACCGGGTGCTGTGCATCAAGACTCACCTCCTCTTAGCCGGCCTGCTGCGCTGTGCGCTGATCATGCCCTTCCATCACTCAGAGGTGGTCCAAAACTACAACATGCACGTCGCTCCCTCCCCTCCCATCCCTGCTTTCAGTTCCTCCTCCCACCTCATCCCAAAAACAGATCAGCAACCGTGTGTTATGCATCAAGAATCACCTGTTGCTAGCTGGTCTTTTAGGCCGCACGCTCATAGTCCCCTTCCACCACTCAGAGGTGGTCCGCAACTACAACATGCACGTCGCTCCTTCCCTCACCTCCCTGCCCTCTCTCCTCTCCCTCCTCTCTCCCCGAATAACAGATCAGCAACCGGGTTCTCTGCATCAAGATCCACCTCCTGCTAGCCGGCCTCCTGGGCCGTACGCTGATCGTCCCTTTCCACCACTCAGAGGTGGTCCGCAACTACAACATGCACGTCGCTCTCGACGTCGAGCACCTCAGGCGCTGCTGCCTTTGTCAAGGTTGTCTTCACCACAGCGGAGTACCGCCAAAACTGCTCTTTCTCACTCTCCCCTCCTCTCCCCTCCTCTCCCCTCCTCTCCCCTCCTCCCCGCTCCACCACACGCCAGATCAGCAACCGTGTGTTGTGCATTAAAAACCACCTCCTCCTCGCTGGCCTCCTCTCCCGCACGCTCATAGTGCCTTTCCACCACTCAGAGGTGGTCCGCAACTACAACATGCACGTCGCTCTCGACGTGGAGCACCTCAGGCGCTGCTTCGGCAAGGTGGTGTTCACGACAGCGGAGTACCGGCGCAAGTATGTGAAGCCGATCAATGTGACCGAGGTGGTGTGCTGGCATGGCCCCAAGGGCGCGTGCAGGGAGGAGGATAAAGAGTTGCTGCTCAACTGCCCGGCACCTGAAACCATGAACACGCCAGCTTCGGTGCTTGTTGGTGGGGATGGAGAGGCTTTGAGAAAGGTGCGTCAAACATGGGGCTCGTTCGAGGTATCTGGGCTCATTTGACGTGTGGTGCTCATTTGAGGGTATGTGAAGCCGATCAATGTCACGGAGGTGGTGTGCTGGCACGGCCCCAAGGGCGCGTGCGTGCAGGGAGGAGGAAAAGGAGCTGCTGTTGAATTGCCCCACGCCTGAAACCATGAACGATCCGGCCTCGGTGCTGGTTGGTGGGGATGGAGAGGCTTTGAGAAAGGTAGGAGGGTGTGTGGGTGGAGCTGCAAGTGGAGGAGGACAAGGATCTGCTGCTCAACTTCCCGGCGCCCGAGACCATGAACACGCCGGCTTCCGTGCTCGTTGAGGGAGTCGGAGAGGCCTTGAGAAAGGTGTGTGCACTGGTGGGGCTTGTTTGAGGTATCTTGGGCTCATTTGAGGTTTGTGGAGCGGCGCCTTCATTTGAGGAGTTCTCACTACACCACAGCGGAGTATTGGCGCAAGTATGTGAATCCGATCAATATCAAGGGCGCTCTGGGCCTCTTTCAATAAAGATTGGCAACCCACAGTTAGTGTTCAACAAGCGGGGCCAGCTCACTTCCCTCCCCCTCTCCCTTCTTACCTCTCACCCCTGCACCTTCTCTCGAATGGTACTTCATGGACCTTCTCTCTATCTCTCTTTTCAGATCGGCAAGCCGGGGTTTGTCTTCAACACGCGCGTGCGCATCACTCGCACGCTCTTTAGGGGTCAGCTCACCCGGTTGACAGGCAACCACACGGCGCTGGCTGCATGCCTTCCCATGTCCGCCTCCAAGTCACAGGTGAGGGTCTCTGATGCGACTCACAAGTCACAGGTGAGGGTCTCTGATGCGACTCACAAGTCACAGGTGAGGGTCTCTGATGCGACTCACAAGTCACAGGTGAGGGTCTCTGATGCGACTCACAAGTCACAGGTGAGGGTCTCTGATGCGACTCACAAGTCACAGGTGAGGGTCTCTGATGCGACTCACAAGTCACAGGTGAGGGTCTCTGATGCGACTCACAAGTCACAGGTGAGGGTCTCTGATGCGACTCACAAGTCACAGGTGAGGGTCTCTGATGCGACTCACAAGTCACAGGTGAGGGTCTCTGATGCGACTCACAAGTCACAGGTGAGGGTCTCTGATGCGACTCACAAGTCACAGGTGAGGGTCTCTGATGCGACTCACAAGTCACAGGTGAGGGTCTCTGATGCGACTCACAAGTCACAGGTGAGGGTCTCTGATGCGACTCACAAGTCACAGGTGAGGGTCTCTGATGCGACTCACAAGTCCAGGTGAGGGTCTCTGATGCGACTCACAAGTCACAGGTGAGGGTCTCTGATGCGACTCACAAGGCACAGGTGAGGGTCTCTGATGCGACTCACAAGTCACAGGTGAGGGTCTCTGATGCGACTCACAAGTCACAGGTGAGGGTCTCTGATGCGACTCACAAGTCACAGGTGAGGGTCTCTGATGCGACTCACAAGTCACAGGTGAGGGTCTCTGATGCGACTCACAAGTCACAGGTGAGGGTCTCTGATGCGACTCACAAGTCACAGGTGAGGGTCTCTGATGCGACTCACAAGTCACAGGTGAGGGTCTCTGATGCGACTCACAAGTCACAGGTGAGGGTCTCTGATGCGACTCACAAGTCACAGGTGAGGGTCTCTGATGCGACTCACAAGTCCAGGTGAGGGTCTCTGATGCGACTCACAAGTCACAGGTGAGGGTCTCTGATGCGACTCACAAGGCACAGGTGAGGGTCTCTGATGCGACTCACAAGTCACAGGTGAGGGTCTCTGATGCGACTCACAAGTCACAGGTGAGGGTCTCTGATGCGACTCACAAGTCACAGGTGAGGGTCTCTGATGCGACTCACAAGTCACAGGTGAGGGTCTCTGATGCGACTCACAAGTCACAGGTGAGGGTCTCTGATGCGACTCACAAGTCACAGGTGAGGGTCTCTGATGCGACTCACAAGTCACAGGTGAGGGTCTCTGATGCGACTCACAAGTCACCTCACACACACGGGAACCAGCTCGCCCACCTCACGAGTGCACCCTGTTGACAGCAACCACACGCCACTCGCTGCATGTCTGCCCATGTCCGCCTCCAAGTCCCAGGTAAGGGCTTTGAGTTGACTCACATGACACATCACCCACCTCACGAGCTCACCCGGTTGCCTAGCAGCAACCACACAGCGCTGGGAGCATGCTTTCCCATGTCCGCCTCAAAGTCACAGGTGAGGCTCAAGCGAGCATTGGCTGTACCAATGAAGTGAAAAGATTCAAAGAGGCAACACACACATCCCGCCATCTCACCAGCTCACCCGCTCACCCCCTCACCAGTTGTCACGCAACCACACACCTGCCCATGCCTGCCCATGTCCGCATTTAAGTCCCAGGTGTGCTTGTAGCAAGCATTGGCCCTGCCAAAAGCGGTCACCCAAGCGCCTCTTGGCTCTGCTCTGCTCATCAAGCTGCCTAAGGGCCATCTCTCCCCTCGGCTTCCCTGCCCTCCCCTCTCTTTCACTTCCTGTACCTTTTCCGCATTTTCCTCCCCTGGTTTCTCTCCCATACAGGCACAAGGGAGCAACCCATCGCCCGTGCTGTTGGTGGGGGATTCGGTCAACATTCACTTCACAACATTCACTTCACCGAGTGGCCCTCGGCTTTTCCCGGTCCCCCCTCCCCCCCCGGAATCTTTCCCACACAGGTCCTAGAGGCATATGGCAACAACCAATCGCCCGTGCTAGTGGTGGGGGACTTAGTGAACGTACACTTCACCGAGTGGCCTGAGAGTGACGCGGCTCTCGACCTCCCGTTCCAGCGCTCATCCGACTGCCCCACGGCGCTGCTCATCAAGCCGGCAGCGGGCATGTTCCTGGCGGCGGAGCTGTTTGTGCGGGAGACGTTTAAAGGGGAGAGGTTTATCGGCATGCACTGGCGAAGAGGGGACTTCAAGGCCTACTGCTTTTGGCACGGACCCAAGAACGCCTGCTACTTTCCGGTGCAGCAGGTGGGTGGGCTTCTCTTGTTTTAAGGTTTTGTGGTTTACGGTTTAGGAGGTTTGGGGCTTGGGATTCACGGGTTTCAGGATGGCAGGGCTTTCAGGCTTGGCTGCTCATCAAGCCGGCAGCGGGCATGTTCCTGGCGGCGGACCTGTTTGTGCGGGAGTCGTTTAAAGGGGAGAGGTTTATCGGCATGCACTGGCGAAGAGGGGACTTCAAGGCCTACTGCTTCTGGCACGGGCCTAAAAATGCCTGCTACTTCCCCGTCCAGCGGGTGGGTTTTTCTCTCTTTGAGGGAGTGTAGGATGCAAGGTTTACGATGTGGAGTTTAGGGTGGCACGGCTTCTGAGGCGCCTCAAAAGCCACCTCAATGTAGGATGCAAGGTTTACAATCTGGAGTTCAGGATGGCAGGGCTTTCAGGCGATGCTCATGAAGCACGAGACAGCAACAGATCGTTACTAGTCAATCTTTTGCTAGGAGTTTCTTTTAGACTACTGCTCACCTTATCAGTTGGTTGAAGGCTTCCAGGCAATGCTCATGAAGCCGGCTGGGGTCATGTTGCTCACTCCCAACCGAGCTGATTGCATTTCAGGTTGACCGGTTTATTGGACGACTTTTGAGGCGCCTCAAAAGTTGCATTTCGGGTCGACCGGTTCATTATTGGCGTGCCATGTCAAGAGAACGCCTCAAGAGATGGACGCAAGAATAAGGAGAGTTTGTTGGGCGTTGTTACTTCTTTGGTCTCCAATGCCATGTTCACTTGACGTGCTTCGTCTTTGCCGTGTCCTCTTCATGCCATGTTGCTTGGTGCGCCCCTGATTGTGATGAGTCTATTTTTGGGTCGAGTTTTGAGACGTCTCAAACTTCTCTTCGTGCCATGTTGCTTGTGCGTCCCTATTTGCGATGAGTCTATTTTTGGGTGGAGTTTTTGAGACGTCTCAAAACTCCTCTTCATGCTATGTCCCCTGGTGCATCCCCGTTTGCAGGTGGCCCATTGGGTGTATTGCAAGACCAGGGAGCTGGGCATGAATGCCATTCTCTTGACATGCTCTGTCTATTGTCATGTCCTGTCCATGCCATGTTCCGTGATGTGTGGCATGCCGTCATGCAGGTGGCCTACTGGGTGTATCGCAAGACCAGGGAGCTGGGATTCAACAGCCTCTTATGAACTTTCAAGCTTGACATGTTCTTGTCATGTCCCTGCTATGCCATGTTCCTTGGTGTGTGCCGTCCCCGTTTGCAGGTGGCGTATTGGGTGTATCGCAAGACCAGGGAGCTGGGAATCAACAACCTCTTATGAGAATTCTCAACACTTGACATGTTCTTGCCCTGTCCTGTCCTGTCCATGACATGTTCCTTGGTGCATCCCCATTTGCAGGTGGCGTATTGGGTGTATCGCACGACCAGGGAGCTGGGAATCAACAACCTCTTATGAGAATTCTCAACACTTGACATGTTCTTGCCCTGTCCTGTCCTGTCCATGCCATGTTCCTTGGTGCATCCCCATTTGCAGGTGGCGTATTGGGTGTATCGCAAGACCAGGGAGCTGGGAATCAACAACCTCTTATGAGAATTCTCAACACTTGACATGTTCTTGCCCTGTCCTGTCCTGTCCATGCCATGTTCCTTGGTGCATCCCCATTTGCAGGTGGCGTATTGGGTGTATCGCAAGACCAGGGAGCTGGGAATCAACAACCTCTTATGAGAATTCTCAACACTTGACATGTTCTTGCCCTGTCCTGTCCTGTCCATGTCATGTTCCTTGGTGCATCCCCATTTGCAGGTGGCGTATTGGGTGTATCGCAAGACCAGGGAGCTGGGAATCAACAACCTCTTATGAGAGTTCTCAACACTTGACATGTTCTTGCCCTGTCCTGTCCTGTCCATGCCATGTTCCTTGGTGCATCCCCGTTTGCAGGTGGCGTATTGGGTGTATCGCAAGACCAGGGAGCTGGGAATCAACAACCTCTTTCTCGCCACCAATGCCAAGCATGCTGAGGTACAAGCTCTGGTAAATCTCGCAATGCGCTATCATTTGTGTGTATATATCTGTGTAGCGTGTGTGTGTGCTTGTTCTAGTTTGTTAATTTAATATGTTTTTCCTTCCTTCTTTCTTTCTTTCTTTCTTTCTTTCTTTCTTTCTTTCTTTCTTTCTTTCTTTCTTTCTTTCTTTCTTTCTTTAACCCATGTGAAGCTACAAGGTTTTCTTTTATGCATGCATGCCCCAGAACAAATGTGTTGAAAGCGGAGCATTACAAAATCGGAACCAACTATAAGCTTTTAACTAAGAGTTGCCTGCTATGCTTCGGTGGGCAAGCATGGAGAGGAGATCCCATCACCCCCGTCTGCTTACACATCTTCATGGAAAATTGCATTCCATGCAAGCATTTTGCCCTCTCTTGTCGCCCTCACCTTCTCACACTCCTCTCCCCATCCTCTTCTCATCCTTCTCATCTCTTCTCACACTTCTCTGGTCCCTACTTTCTGTGCCCTCCCCCTCTTTCCTAATGCCCAGTTGGAGGAACTAACAGTGTTGCTAAACCAAATGTCGGATTACAAACTAAACGTGGTGCGGTTACCATCCGTCCGCGAAAAGAGCAAGGAGAAATGGATGCGACCAATTCAACAACTGACTACAGGCCGCACGGAGCTTATTCCAGTAGCTTTAGAAAAGCTGATTTGTGCACAGTCGCACATTTTCTGGGGATCTGTGGCGTCGACCTTTTCCATGGATATCCAACGGTTGCGGCATGGCTTACGGGTGGCCAGTTGTAACGATACGACGATTTGTTACGGCGAAAAGGAGTGGATCAAGAACAGAGGTTGACGGCGTTAGGGGTTGTGTAGGAATTTGCAGCTCAGTAATTTTTGACATGAATTTCTCAGCACCTCTCCTTAATTCTACTAGTTTTATTATAGTGAAATGATTATCCCAACTTTACTAAGTTTATTCCGTGCTGATCAAGTTCACTGTTTACGAGCAGATTCGCGAGGCACATTCAATGTAAGCACCCAGATAAACCGTTCTCCACCTCATGTGAAACCCCTTCTACCACCAGTGTCACGTGGATGATGCCGCCTGCCAGTCCCTAAAAATTCCCGCCTACCAGTCAGTTGCTGTTCAAATACCTGTCAGGTGTTTCTTAGTCCGCATTCTAAGAGACATCGCTAGTTAACCAGTCCGCGTCTTAAGAGGAACTGCCTTCGCTCTTAGACGCAAGGCATTCCATTATTTCTGCGACAGGGTTCGCGTCGCGTCTCGTGGTTTTGCGTCATCGATTAATCTCTAACTGGATTAGGTTCTTGCAGTTAAGAACCTAAACTGCATTCTGGTGCTCGAGCATTTAATCCGTTTGTGGAGCGTCGATTTCAGCTGAAATGGACGGCTCAGATGATTCAGATGTAGATTTCGGCACAATGGTCATGAAGCCTGGGAGTCGCAGGCCGCCACAGGAGCCATCCGATGAAGAATCGGACGGTGATGAAGGCGGCGATTTTGGAACCATGGTTATGAAACCTGGAAGCCGACGCGACAGCGGGAGCGGCGGCGGCGGCGGTGGTGGATGGCGTGGGGGAGGTGCTAATGACGGGGATAGCGACGAGGACGGGGGAGGGGATTTTGGAACGATGGTGATGCGGCCACGGGGCGCGCGACGAGACGACGATGACGGGAGCGGGGTGGAATCGGACGGTTCAGAAGGAGGGGATTTTGGAACCATGGTGGTGAGTCGCGGAAATAAAGGAAACAGCGGGAGAGGCAGGAGAAGGGACGAGGACGAGGAGGATGATGAGGATGATAACAGCGGGGATTTTGGAACAATGGTGGTGACCAGAGGGGGTGGAAGGCGGAAAGTGGGGCGAGAGGAGGAGGAGGAAGAGGAGGAAAGCGAGGAAGGGGATTTTGGAACGATGGTGGTTAGTAGGAAGAGCGGGGGAGGAGGGGGGAAGGGCAGAGGGGGAAGAGAGGAGGAAGGGGGAGGGTTGGCAGCAGCAGCTGCTAGCATGCGTGCTCAAATGGGGAGGGGTGGTGGGGGGAGAAGGGGGGGAGGGGGAGGGGGAAGAGGAGGGAGGAGGAGGAGGAGGAGGAGGAGGAGGAAGAGGAGGAAAGTGATGGGGATGGGGATTTTGGAACGATGGTTGTGACTAAATCGAAGGGGAGCCAGAAAGGGAGGCGGGGGACGAGGAGGAAGAGGAGGAGGAGGAAGAAGAGGAGAGTGAGGAAGGGGATTTTGGCACGGTAGTAGTGAGCAAGTCGGCCAAAAAAAAGGGGCGGCGGCGGAAGGAGGAGAGCGAGGAGGAGGAGGAAGAGGGGGACTTTGGAACGATGGTTGTTTCGAAACGACGAGGCCGGAATGATGAGGAGGAGGAAGAGGATGAGGAGGATGAAGAGGAGGAAGATGAGGATGATGATCAGTTTGGCACTGTGGTGGTATCTGGGAAGAGCAAGGGGGGAGGGCGGAGGAAGAAGGGGGGGAAGGGAGGGAAGGAGGAGAGGGACGGGACTGGGTCACTGGCAGCGGCGGCAAGGAGCATGGCGGAGCATAAAGACGTTGCTCCCAAGGCGAAGAAGGGCGGGGGAGGGGGCATTTCAGGATCGAGCATCCATGTGTCTAGAGAGGACCCCACACTGAAATACGAGCTGCTGGAGGAACTGGGTGAGTGAGGGGGATGGTGGTGCTCGTTGGGGAGTGGGGGAAGGTTGGGGGGGTCCAGTACATGCACACGTGTCCAGGGAGGAGCAGCCCACCCTGAAATACGAGTTGCGGGAGGAACTGGGTGAGTGGGAGGGGTGGGTGAGTGAGGGGCGTTCGTTTGACATGACGTGGCATGGCAGAGCACAAGGACGTTGGGAGGGGGCATTGCAGAGTCGAGCATTCATGTGTCGAGAGAGGACCCCACACTGAAATACGAGCTGCTGGAGGAGCTGGGTGAGTGAGTGTGAGAAGGTGGTCTTCGGTGGAGGATGGGAGAAAAATTTCTGGGAAACTAGTACATGCACACGTGTCCACGCTGAAATTCGAGCTGCTGGAGGAACTGGGTGAGTGTGAGGGGTGGAGATGGGTGAGTGTGAGGGGTGGAGATGGGTGAGTGTGAGGGGTGGAGATGGGTGAGTGTGAGGGGTGGAGATGGGTGAGTGTGAGGGGTGGAGATGGGTGAGTGTGAGGGGTGGAGATGGGTGAGGGCGTATCCAGGTTCGGGTCATGAGCACTGTTCCGGGCATGCGCGATTTGCGGATGACCCAAACAACATAAAACGCATGTTTGGGTCATGCGACCCACAAATTGCCGCGAGGGTTTTCGCGCCAAAACCCAGCTCCCCACAACAGTCGCATCCAATGGAGGGATGCCAGAACATTTCGAAAGGTCATTAGCGAGACCCACGCAAAACCACGCGACACTCACTGAGAAAACACAACCGTCAAAATTCCCGGAGCGAAGTCCCAAATGTTGGGAGCGCGACGCGAGAAATTTCAGACACACTCGGGGTCAATTTGCCGAGTGGTTGGGTGCAGAGGTGTAAGACGTGGGACACTGCCCACGTGTGACACTCGACTGCCGAACGACAAAACGATGGCAGTAACACCACAATCGTGCAACCAGGTGATTGGTTGGGGGTGGGTCGTGCACGTCAGTCGCCCAACACCTGCACATTGACCCAAAGCTGGGGCCGCGCGCGGCTCGGCAGCCCACTTCGGGTCATGCGCAAATTCAGCATGACCCGAACAGTAGCCAGAACAGTGCTCATGACCCGAACCTGGATACGCCCTGAGTGTGAGGGGTGGAGATGGGTGAGTGTGAGGGGTGGAGATGGGTGAGTGAGTGAGGCTCCACTAGTCATCGCGGGAGCTGAGGTTTTGACTCCTTGCATGGTGCTGTGTTGCCGCCCTCATTCTTGTCTTGTCTCCACCTCCTTGCTCCCCGCCCCTGCACCTGCTCCGCTCCCTACACATACCCCACCTTCCCCTGCAGGCAAGGGGTCCTACGGTTCCGTGTACAAGGGGCGAGACCGCATTAGCTCAGAACTGGTGGCTATCAAAGTCATCTCTCTCGCTGAAGGGGTAAGTGGAGGAAGGTAGCATTCCTCTCGGCAGGCAAGGGTTCAATTCTAAGTTGATCCTATCTGACCGTTGGTTTGACTCGAAATTCGGCAAGGGTCCCTATGAGTCAGTCAGTGTACAAGGGGTAAGTGGAGGAAGGAATACTTAGGTGATGAGACGTCACAAACAGTGGGGTTCGTATGGGTCTGTCGGTGTACAAGGGGAGAGACCACATCAGCTCAGAGCTGGTGGCTATCAAAATCATTTCCCTGGCTGAAGGGGTAAGTGGGAGAAGGCTTGTTCAATGTTTGGTGGTTGAGGAGGTAAGTAGCAACTAATGCCAGTTCCTGCTGATAAGGGAAGTTGCGATTGTTTTCCTCCTCTTTGTTCCTCCCCTCTTCCTCTCTCCGCGGCTTTGTTTCCCTTGCCCTCCCTTCCTCCTCTTCCACCTGTTCCTTCTCCTCCCTCCACTTCCTCCTCTATCCGCCACTTCCCTCCGCTTCCTTCCTCTTATCACCTCGCCCCTCCTCTTCACCCCTGTTTCCCCATTCCATGTATTCTCGCCTCCCCCCATCAGGAGGAGGGATTTGAGGAGATAAGGGGAGAGATTGAGATGCTTCAGCAGTGCAACCATCCCAACGTTGTGCGATACTATGGCAGCTACCAGGGAGACGACTTCCTGTGGGTGAGTGGATCCGATCTGATCTTATTTTATGATGTAATGTTGAGACCTGTTTTGGAATGGTGTGATTCGTTTACCACCTCCAATGGACTACATGTATCACAAATTCCTGGTTGTCGTGCTGGTAGTGTAGCTGGCCTCATGAACAACACGGACTCACCTCACCCTCTTCTTGTTGTGTTGTCCACCTCCCTCCCCTCCTGCCCGCAACACATCCCACTCTGTATAGAGATTGTGATGGGGTATTGTGGCGGTGGCAGCGTGGCCGATTGCATGGACAACAGGGATTCGCCTCCTCCTTATTGCGTTGCTCCCCCCCTCTCCCCCTCTTGCCACCCCACCCCTCCCTGCTCCCAACACACCTTCCCTTGAAACAGATTGTGATGGAGTATTGCGGTGGCGGCAGCGTGGCTGACCTTATGAACAACACGGACTCGCCGCTTGAGGAAGGCATGATTGCCTACGTATGCCGGGAGTCCATCAAGGTGCGTGGCAGTCAATGCAAGTCAATGGTAGTCAGAGTAGGGGCAGTCCAAGAAGAGGAGAGAAACAACACGAACGAGGCGCAGGGGTGGCATCACACGTGGGACCGGAAGCAGAAGATTTGACTGCAGCAACACCAGCTGCAAGAGTGAATGCGCCAAGGGCCAAAAGGGCGGCGCTGCAGGTAAGGTCGACTGCGCTGGAAGCGCGCTCGCCTGTGCTGATAGCTTGCACCCCTTCGTCGGGCTCCCCAGACCATGTTTTCGGCCTCGCCGCACCTCCACCCGTTTCTCGCACACCTTCTGCTCAACCTCTCTCCTTCATCACCCACCTTGTTGTTTCTTCCTCCCTGTCTTTCCAGGCCGTAGTAGAAGCAGAAAGAGACGCAGGGGCGACAGCACACGCCGCACCAACAGCAGCAGCAGAGGGTATGTTGCCCTGAGGATGCTGCTGCTGCTGTTGCTGCCAATTCGGCGTGTGCTGTCGCCCCAACATCTCCTTCTGCTTCTGCTACTGCCTGGAAAAACAGGGAGGGAGAAACAACAAAATGGTTGATGAAAGAGATGGGGTGAGCGGAAGATGTGCGAGAAACGGGTGGAGGTGCGGCGAGGGCGAGAGCACAATCTGAGAAGGCCGATGAGGAGGTGCGAGCTTTCATCACAAGCGAGCGCGCTTCCAGCGCAGGCGACCTTACCCGCAGGGCCACTCTTCTGGCCCTTTGCGCCTTCATTCTCGCAGCTGGTGTTGCTGCAGTCAAATCTTCTGCTCCCGGTCCGGCGTGTGCTGCTGCCTCTGCGCCTCCTTTAGCTGCTGTTGCCACCCCCTCTCCTCTCCATAAACCCCAAACCCTAACCCCCTTACACTGAACTTAAACCTGAAACCCACACCCTATTCCACTTCAGGGACTGGCGCCTCTGCACAAGATTGACAAAGTGCATTGTGACATCAAGGGCGGCAACATCCTGCTGAGCGCTTCTACTAGCACTCAGTGCCTTTTTGAACCTTAAACCCCAAACCCTCTGAACCCTAATCCCCTCCAGGGTCTGGCGTACCTGCACGAGATAGGCAAGGTGCATCGCGACATCAAGGGCGGCAACATCTTGCTGAGCGACTCGGGGGAGATCAAGCTGGGGGACTTTGGAGTGGCGGCGCAGCTCACCCGCACCATGTCCAAACGCAACACGGTGAGGAGCGGTGATGTGCGGTTCTTGTGCCGTGTAGAGGGGTGGTGCGCTTAAAAAACCAAGAGCTTCCCAGGTAGAAAAGGGCAACATCCTGCTGAGCGACTCGGGGGAGATCAAGCTGGGTGACTTTGGGGTGGCGGCACAGCTCAGCAACCCGCACCATGTCCAAACGCAACACGGTGAGGGGCGGTGACATGCGGTTCTTGTGTTGTCTAGAGGCGTGGGGTGCTCTAAACAAACACGTAGGGCGGTCTAGAGAGAAAAGGGCAATCATGACTCCCTCTACTCCCTGCCACATCCCCTTGCAGCTCATCGTCACACCCCAGTGGATGGCACCGGAGTCTGTGATACAGGCACATACAATACGACTCCCCATAAAGCATGCTCAACCCCGCTCCCCTCTTTCTCCGCTTACCTTCTCCCTCTTCTCCCCCTTCTCCCCCTTCTCCCCCTACTCCCCCTTCTCCCCCTTCTCCCCCATCTCCCCCTTCTCCCCCTTCTCCCCCTTCTCCCGATTACCGTCTCCCCCTTCTCCCCCTTCTCCCCCTTCTCCCGATTACCGTCTCCCCCTTCTCCCTCTGCAGTTCATAGGCACGCCCCACTGGATGGCACCGGAGGTGATTCAGGAGAGTCTGTACGACGGCAAGGTGGACGTGTGGGCGCTGGGCATCACTGCCATTGAAATGGCCGAGGTACGCTTTGTATTCTTCTCACTAGGCGCCCCCTAGGCAGCACAGGGTATGACATGTTGCGGCAGGGGCAGCAGACACAGGCTATGTGGGATGGGATGCACAGCCTGCCGTGCAGTGCAGTCTATTTTTGAGTCTCTGCCATGCAGTGCAGTCTCTCTGCACGACTTGTTTTTGAGTCGACTCAAAAAGTGGGATGGGATGCACAGCCTGCCATGCAGTGCAGTCTCTCTGCACGACGGCAAGGTGGACGTGTGGGCGCTGGGCATCACTGCCATTGAAATGGCCGAGGTACGCCTTTTAGCAAACAATTTCTGAGACGCCTCCAAAAGAGACTGGGCATCACTGCCATTGAGATGGCTGATGTACGCCCCTTCCAGATCCAGGCACCCCTGTGTGCACCCTTTCGAGGTATGCCCCCTCCCTCTGTATGTAGCCCCCCTTTGCGTTGCATGCTTCGCAGGTACGCCTTGCATTCTCAATAGGCACGGTCGAGGCAGCACAAGCCGAGGCAGCACAGGCCGAGGCAGCACAGGGTTCGCCTTGCCTTGTGACAACGCCCCCATGGTCTCATGACCTCCTTTACCCCCCATGTCATGACCACCTTTACCCCCTGTGCCATTCCCCACCTTTCCTCAACCCCCCATGTGTGAGCAGGGCCTGCCGCCACGCTCAAACATCCATCCCATGAGAGTGAGTGCTTGATGATGGTGGTTGTTGTCCTATTTATCCACTAAGCCATCCAGTTTATTTTATTGTATGCTATGACTCCACATCATGTAGATCTGAAATTGTATTTTTTTCTTCTTTCTCTTTTTGCTGCTTTGGAGATTTGTATAGACACCTTTTCTGCCCCTATTTTTGAGTCGACTCAAAAACAGACACCTTTTCTGCCCCTATTTTTGAGTCGACTCAAAAACAGACACCTTTTCTGCCCCTATTTTTGAGTCGACTCAAAAACAGACACCTTTTCTGCCCCTACCTACCTACTCTTCTCCTCCAGGTGCTTTTCATGATCTCCAGAGAACCGTCTCCCACATTAGAGGACCCCGAGAAATGGTAACGCCCCCTCTTAACATTCTCCTCTTCCGGCCCTGGTCTTCTATGTTATTTCGCTTGAATGTGGGTGTAGATTTGGGGGGAATGTTTAAAGAGCGCACATCTTGTAATGGAGTTTGTTCATATCTTTGCTCACCCACCTCTTTCTGCTCTCTCACCCCAAATCCGCCGGTAGGTATCCCACCTTAACCCAAAGGCCAATGCTGGTTGAACAGCATCAAATTCATCCCTTCGTTCCTCCTCCGGTCCTACCTACGCACTCCCCTCAACAGGTCCCTTCTGTTCCACGATTTCGTGGCCAAGTGTTTGATCAAGAAGCCAAAGCAGCGCTCCACCACGCCAACTGAACCACAATCCACCGCACAAAACCGCACAGTACCCCCTTCTCTTCCTGCAGGTCCCTTCTGTTCCACGATTTTGTGGCCGAGTGTTTGATCAAGGAGCCCAAAGAGTGCCCCAGCACACTAACTGAACCACATCGTACCACATAATACCGCATTCTACTGCACATTATCCTCTCCTACCCCTCCTGCAGGTCACTGTTGTTCCACGATTTCGTGGCCAAGTGTCTTATCAAGGAGCCCAAGCTGCGCCCCACCACACCAACTGAACCACATCATACCTCATAATACCGCATTATACCGCACATTATCCCCTCCTTCCTCTCTCAGGTCCCTTTTATTCCACGATTTCGTAGCCAAGTGTTTGATCAAGGAGCCCAAGCAGCGCCCCACCACACTTGCTGATCCACATCATACTGTGTTGTACCGCATATTATCCCCACCTCCCCTCCACCTCACTCCCTTCCAGGTCCCTTCTATTCCACGATTTCGTGGCCAAGTGTCTGATCAAGGAGCCCAAACAGCGCCCCACGACGCCAGCGCTGCTGCAGCACAAGTTCATCGAGAGGTGCAAGGATACCGCTGTGGTGCTCAAGAAACGCATCGACCAGGCCAAGGCGATGCGAGAGGAGGCGAAGAAACAGAGATTGGCTGCTGCAGCTTTGGAGGAGCAGAACAGCGTTTCAGAGGATGTGAGTTATTCTCACAGACTGCACACACATCCTCTGGGGCTTTAGGCTATATAGGCTATACACACACACAGTGGGACGCATTTTTCTTTCACACACATGCGGAATATTGAACAGAGGGTGGGAATGGGGGAAGGAGTGAAGGGGGTGGGGTGGGGGTCATAGAGCAGTGCAGCACAAGTTCATGGCGTGCTGCAAGGACTACAGCTGCACTCCATGAACTTGTGCTGTGGTGTCCTTGCACCACTCCTTGCTGTGGTGTCCTTGCACCACTCCTTGCTGTGGTGTCCTTGCACCACTCCTTGCTGTGGTGTCCTTGCACCACTCCTTGCTGTGGTGTCCTTGCACCACTCCTTGCTGTGGTGTCCTTGCACCACTCCTTGCTGTGGTGTCCTTGCACCACTCCTTGCTGTGGTGTCCTTGCACCACTCCTTGCTGTGGTGTCCTTGCACCACTCCTTGCTGTGGTGTCCTTGCACCACTCCTTGCTGTGGTGTCCTTGCACCACTCCTTGCTGTGGTGTCCTTGCACCACTCCTTGCTGTGGTGTCCTTGCACCACTCCTTGCTGTGGTGTCCTTGCACCACTCCTTGCTGTGGTGTCCTAGCACCACTCCTTGCTGTGGTGTCCTTGCACCACTCCTTGCTGTGGTGTCCTTGCACCACTCCTTGCTGTGGTGTCCTTGCACCACTCCTTGCTGTGGTGTCCTTGCACCACTCCTTGCTGTGGTGTCCTTGCACCACTCCTTGCTGTGGTGTCCTTGCACCACTCCTTGCTGTGGTGTCCTTGCACCACTCCTTGCTGTGGTGTCCTTGCACCACTCCTTGCTGTGGTGTCCTTGCACCACTCCTTGCTGTGGTGCCATAGAGCAGTGCAGCACAAGTTCATGGAGTATATGTCAACCTCCATCCATCTTTCTCCCTCTCCTAACCTCTCTGTCCCTCTCCATCCCTCTCCATCCCTCTCCATCCCTCTCCATCCCTCTCCATCCCTCTCCCCTCTCCATCCCGCTCCATCCCTCTGTGTCTTGTCAGTCCATGGGTACGGGCACGGTGAAGCAGAGGGGGGACGCCATGGGCGGGACAGTGAAGGCTCGTTCTGCTCCATCCGCCTATGCTGACGACGATGAACCTGGTGGGTGTTATCTGGGGTAGGTAGAAACTGGGGTAGGTGGGACGGTGAAAGCTCTCTGCTCCATCCGCCTATGCTGACGACGATGAACCTGGTGGGTGTTATCTGGGGTAGGTAGAAACTGGGGTAGGTGGGACGGTGAAAGCTCTCTGCTCCATCCGCCTATGCTGATGACGATGAACCTGGTGGGTGCTACCTGGGGTAGGTAGAAACTGGGGTAGGTGGGACGGTGAAAGCTCTCTACTCCCTTCGCCGCCTACGCTGATGACGATGAACCTGGTGGGTGTTATGCTATGGTGGACAGTGTATTCAAATGCCTCCCCGCTTGCAAGCGAGTGTTTTGAGTCGAGGTTGGGTTGATAACGCAAGGGACAGTGAAGGCTCGCTCTGCTCCATCCGCCTATGCTGATGATGATGAATCTGGCTGGCGGGTGCTATCTGGGGTAGGTAGTGACTGGGGTAGGTAGTGACTGGGGTAGGTGGGACGGTGAAAGCTCGCTCTGCTCCCTCCGCCTATGCTGATGACACGGGCGACAAGGCAATAAATCATTCACGATGCCCCTCCACTCCTTATGTGAGTCAGCTAAAAAATCATCTTATCACATGCTGAGCTGATGACAAGGGCGACGAGGCAATGGACAGGGGCACGATGCCCGCCCCTCCAATCCTTCTCCCCTTCTTGCTGCTCCGTCCCATTCCCACAAACTCGCTCACCCCAACACAGATTGTGGCACGCGTCTGAACACGGACTATGAATCCGAGGATGAGCGAGAGACACTGGCCCTAATGCTTCACCTCTTTCCTTCCGCTCCCATCCCTGCATTTCCCACTCATCAAAACACAGATTGTGGAACGTTTGTGAACAAGGACTATGAGTCCGACTATGAGGCAATGGGCACAGCAAGAGGCACTACCATCATGCGCTTTCACCCTGTTCTTCCCCTCCCCCTCTACCCCATTCCCAGATTTCGGCACGTTTGTGAACAAGGACTATGAGTCCGAGGATGAGGCAATGGACACCGGCACGATGCGTGTCGCCAGGTCAGACGAGCCGTCCGCCAAGTCAGCAGCTGCCACGTCAGCAGCAGAGGGCGTGGAGTCATCTTCGGATAACATCGGCGCAGCGCTGGCAGCTCTGGGAGGGCAACGCAAGGCCAAGCCAGCACAGGCCAAGTGAGTGAAAATGACTGAGAGAGGGTGAATCATGTATGTAGGTGCAGCTGAACTCGCATTGCACCTACCTCTACCTCTACTTCTCTGGTCGCAATTGAGCGAGCAGAGGGCGTGGAGACGTCTTCGGATAGCATCGGCGCAGTGCTGGCAGCTTTGGGAGGGCAGTGCAAGGCCAAGCCTGCCCAGGCCAAGTGAGTGGGCGTTGGGATATCTCGGTGCGAAGTGTTTGAATTGAAATACTCATGCTGGATTTGGGCTCCTTAGTGACTGAGTCTTCAGTGAGGCAGCTAGGCCGGCGGACAGCATTGGAGCAGAGGTGACTTGTGAGTTGACTTGGAACGAGGTGACTTTTGACTTTGGTGGGGGAGATTATGTCAAGAGTCACCTCGTTCCCTCTTGGTGGAAATGCTTCCTCTTCCCTCCTCTCGCCTCCCTTCCCTCCCAGGTCCGCCCCTTCCCGTAGAGCAGATCGACCACCAGTCCCTCCGAAGCAAGCGGCAGCAGCGGGCATGGAGCTGGAAGCCAAGAGGCGGAGGAAGGGCACGGATTTGTTTGAGAAGGCTTGGCAGGCGATGGAGGATGGGACGAGGCAGGCAACCCTTTCCGTTCCCTCCCCTCTTCTCCGTTCTTCCCCTCCCCAGGTCCGCCCCATCTCGCCCCTCCGAGCGGCCACCAGTGCCGCCAAAGCAGGCAGCAGCGGCGGGCATGGAGCTAGAAGCCAAGAGGAGGAAGGGCACGGATTTCCCACCCTCCCCTCCCCTCCCCACTCCTCCCAGGTCCGCCCCCTCTCGAAGGGCAGAGCGCCCTCCTGTCCCTCCGAAGCAGGCAGCAGCGGCGGGTATGGAGCTAGAAGCAAAGCGGAGGAAGGGCACGGATTTCTTTGCGGGGGCGAGACAGGCGATGGAGGATGGGACGAGGCAGGCCATTGCTGACAGCACCAAGCCCGCTCAGCGAGCCAGCCCTGGGCTGCAGGATAAGGTATGGTGAAGATGAGGTATGATGAGGATGAGGTATGACCACCTTGAAGGGTCCAGGAACGCATGTTTGCATTGGCTTTCTCTGACTGGAGATTTTTCAGTTTTGTGCATGCTAGAGAATGGGATGAGACAGGCCATTGCTGACAGTACCAGGCCCGCTAAAAAAGCCAGCCCTGGGCTGCAGGATAAGGTGGGTTGGTTGGGGACATTGATAAGGGGATAAGGGTGAGAAAGAGCGGGAGGGGGCAGCTTGGTTTCTGAAAATTCTCCGAAGCCAACTTGTCTGGTATGGTGATAGAGAAGGAAACCTTCGCACAGTCCCCATCCCCTTCCTCCAACCTCTTCCCTCCCTCCACACTCAACCCCCCTTTCCCTCATGCAGCTATCAGCGGTGTATGCAGCGGGCAACACAGTCCCCATCCCTTTCCTCCGCGCGTGCGACATCTCCCCTCTCGCCCTCATCGCCTCATCCGGTCCTGATGGAGTTTTTTTTAATCCCTCCTGTCAATTTCCCTTCAACCTTTTGCTTGTCCCCCACCTCCCATTCCTCCCCCCCCACCCCACCCTCCACCCCACCCCCCTCTCCCCCGCACCCTTCCTCCCAGCTATCAGCAGTGTATGCAGCGGGCAACACGGTCCCCATCCCCTTCCTCCGTGCGTGCGACATCTCTCCTCTCGCTCTCATCGCCTCATCCGGCCCTGACGGCGCTCCCTTTGACCAGTGCGGGCTGGAGGCGATTCAGGAGCTGTCAGGGAGCGGTGGGCTGGCGGGGAGCAAGGGCGCCAGACGAACGCCGGCTGCTGAGGTGAGCACGAACTCGGTGCGGCAGCGTGACTTTTGAGGCGCGTCAAAAGTGATAAAAGTGATGTTTTGAGACGTCTCAAAACCTCTCATACTGTATTATGCCCCTTAACACCACGGATGCTATGCGAGGCTCAAACCCCGACAGAGCTCCTTTTGACCAGTGTGGCCTGGAAGCTTCCTAGAAGCTCTTTCTACTCTGAACCTTGTTCCTACTACACACCATTTCGACCACACTCCATTCCCACTACAGTTGCCCCTGGGTGTATCCCTCAGAGTAACCAACAATGTTTTCCTTCTAGTCTAAAGAGCCCCTTCCTATTTCCTACCATTTTCGCTACACCCCATTCCCACTACAGGTCCCCCTACCCCCCAGTGTATATCGCAGACTAGCCAACAGCACCACCCTCCCCAATCTCGCCCGAGCGCTCGCCTACCATAAACAGTACGTGGTGCTCCTTATAACGAGTATTAACCTTGCACTGCTGACTGTGTGTGTCACACTACGTATAGAACATGACTTGTGTGTTGTGAATGAATGTTTGTGTGCTGATTTTGTCTCGTATATGCTCCTCTCTTGCTGCTTTTGGGCAGCTCCAGTCTCTCCTTGTGTAATGGGACAGTTTGTGCACCTCTTGTTCCTCTCTCACTGTACAACTCCCCACATGCTCTTAGAATGCCCTGAACAGTGATAGGTAAGTTACCCACTCCACTTTTTGAAGTCGTTTGCCACTCTTTGCCGTCTGAACCTGTGCCTGTTTATCCCCGATATTAGGTGTTTGGACGAGATGCCCTTACAAGGATGGCAAGTAACGCAAGAGAAGGCCATCATACACAACCTATCTGACACCATACGGACCATACTCCGCCTCTAGTTCGTCTTCAGCATTTACTGTAATGGTGTAATTTAATGCCTAGGTCATTCTCAAGGCGCCTCAAGATGATGGGTAACCTTCATACACTTCTTTGCTTATAGAGCTTTTGTTTGCTACTCCGTGTCAATTCAAATTAAATGCTGATGGTGTTGTTGTCACCTTTGTGGGGTGAAGAACATGTTGAACAGGATGAACAGGATACATGATGAATGAAGACTCCACTTGGTATGTGTGTTCAGAATCTGTCTTGCGTAGCAAAACAATGACTAGAACTCAGACTGCCTTGCCTACCTTCGACAGTGTAACACTCAGTTGCACTGTTACACCTTATTTGCTCCTAAAGTAAACCCATCTCTGTCGTAGAAAGTAAAAGCTAGTTTTACGGTATCAACTCCAGTCAGACATACCGGACCGGAGGCCATCTTTGGTACCGTTTATGCCCTCCTCCTGCCCTCTGCTGCTCTCTTCCCCCTCCAGCAATTCTCTCCCCATCTCATAGAGCAACCTACCCATCCCAGAGACCAAGTCACAGAGTCAGCAGCCTAGACATAAGCCACTTCTGGTAAATGGCCTCGTCTCAGCTGCGCCAGCACATGTTCCCCCGTGCGAAACAGCTCTCTCAAGTTATCCACAGACGCTTCACTCCTCCCCATCTCAAACAGCATCCTCACATCCCGCCTCCTGCTCTCTGCTGCCGCCCAGCTCATTCCCCCAGGCCGCTTGCCGATCTCTCTTAAAAGGTTGCGGTAGAGGGAGAGGGCGCGGGGGCGGTTTATGAGGTACTGCTGCGGTGTTAACCATAACGGGGCCATCTGTGAAGGGGATGGGGAGAGAGAAAGTGGAAGATAGAGGGAGAGGGCAAGAAGCCGACCAGTAGCCGACAACAGGGGAGAGAAATGGAGAGGTAAGGAGAGGAGAGGAGAGGAGAGGAGAGGAGAGAAGCAGAGAGATAAAGGGAGAAGGGTGGGGGACAAGGAAACAGCAGTGTAGGGGAGATTACAAACTGTACTCAGTTGTATTTATGCCTACAACAGGGGAGACGTGAAAATAGAGCTAGGGGCATTGCGAGCGCAGGGCGAGGGTGAGAAGGATGCGATTTAAAGCAGCTTTAGAAACGAGCAAACAAACTTCGCATGGTGAGTACAAACCTGCTCATTCACGCGGCGATCAGGGAAGGTCGGTGGAAAATAAAGCACGCCGCTCGTTTTGTACGACCGCTAGTTTTTACGACCTACTTGCTGTCTGCGTGGAGAGGCGATGGCTGCAGCAGATGCTCTAGGAGCCTACGATGTCGGATGAAGCTCCATCTATTATTCCATCCATTGCGCCCAGGAGGAAATGTTTCAGCCGTGGGGGAACAACAGCGGAGTTTAAACAACACGTATCCTCCATACAGGCTGTCGATGATAGAGCAGTTGCGACTACCTTATGCAGCTCTTGTAAAGCCGATTCATGGAATAATAACTTCATCAATACCCACAAAAAACCCCTCAAATTTTCTCTGTATGCGTCATGGATTCTCCATACCTGTCTCATATTTATGCAATGAATTCAACGAGACCAAAGTGCAAACCAGTAAGAACCTTTGTTGAAACAGGTATCTTGCAAACTTTGTGAATTATTCACTGTACATTTCAAAACTATTGGCGTCACATGCTCTCGATAGCTCCAGGTAGGCATGCCTCTAAAACGGAAGGTGTCTCCTCACCCAGTGTCGCTAGCACCGATCCGACGAACGTATAATAACTAGGTGTGAGCACTTATCCTAGAAGGTTAATTTCCGCTGCTTCAGCGTTGGCGGGGCATCTTCTTGGGAACCGCGGTTTCCGATGTCAACCCCGCGCTAGTTTCCCACCCGAAAATCGCTGTCGCAGCTACGCCTCCAACAGGGCGATCGTCCAATCGGTGCTCTCGGAGACAACGTAGTGGATCAGTAGCATCGCGAGCAGCATGTCCGGCGGAGGTATTTTCGTATTAATATTTCCTGGCAGATGTGGTCAGATATCGCATGCTTTCGAGTAATGTCCCAACTGTACGCACGTGCAACGACGGAATGGCAGAGTCGACTGTGCAGACATAGTGGTGTTTCTTGTGGTAAACAAGGGGCCTAGTCCACCATCACTTCACTCTTCACTCACTCCACCTCAACCAGACGAGGTCTGATGGTGAAAATACTTCTGAAAATTACTAAAAGGGCCCCTTTCTTACCCGTCACACCTCTCTCACCCTCGCCCTACCAGACGAGGTGTCAGCGCTGGTGCTGGATCTGGGCTCGCACACGTGCAGCTGCATTCGTGACCAAGCCTTCCTGTCTCGACCCTTTTTTATATTTCACCCCCATCTGTCCCCCCCCCCCCCCCCCCCCACTCCCTTTCTCCTCCCTCTCCCTTCCTCCCTCCATTAGACGAGGTATCGGCACTGGTGCTGGATCTGGGCTCGCACACGTGCAAGGCGGGATACGCAGGGGAGGATGCTCCTAAAGCCGTCTTCCCCTCGGTATGTACGGCCAAAGTTCAAACTTATTCCTTTTTATCCCTTTTCTTCAATATCGCTTTGTATTGTATCTACAGCCATGTAGCATGCGAAGGCCTTTTTATTACAAGCGTGAGCCTATTTTATCCAGAGCATATCGAGAGCGTGAGATGGCTGGGAGGATGAACGTTTTTGAGTCGACTCAAAAACAGACTCATTACACCCGGAACAGATTGAAAGCGTGAGATGGCTGGGAGCATGAACGTTTTTGAGTTGACTCAAAAACAGACTCATTACACCCGGAACAGATTGAAAGTGTGAGATGGCTGGGAGCATGAACGTTTTTGAGTTGACTCAAAAACAGACTCATTACACCCGGAACAGATTGAAAGCGTGAGATGGCTGGGAGCATGAACGTTTTTGAGTTGACTCAAAAACAGACTCATTACACCCGGAACAGATTGAAAGTGTGAGATGGCTGGGAGCATGAACGTTTTTGAGTTGACTCAAAAACAGACTCATTACACCCGGAACAGATTGAAAGTGTGAGATGGCTGGGAGCATGAACGTTTTTGAGTTGACTCAAAAACAGACTCATTACACCCGGAACAGATTGAAAGCGTGAGATGGCTGGGAGCATGAACGTTTTTGAGTTGACTCAAAAACAGACTCATTACACCCGGAACAGATTGAAAGCGTGAGATGGCTGGGAGCATGAACGTTTTTGAGTTGACTCAAAAACAGACTCATTACACCCAGAGCAGATTGAAAGCGTGAGATGGCTGGGAGCATGAACGCTCTTGCCCTTGGAGGCCGTAGCTTCAATATAAGCTGTACCCATCAATCTTTGTCTTGAGTCAAGTTGAATGATATATATCTTCTCACCCTGCGATGCTGCTTGCGTCGCATGGCGTGGCAGGTGTTTGGTGTGATAGAGGCAGATGCGGGACGTGCAGGCGAGGAGGGGAAAAGGGGAGAGGGCAGCGAAGCAGAGGGGCCGGATGCGAAGAGAGTGAAGCTGGAAGGGGGCGCGGCTGCAGCAGGGGCGTCGGCGAATGGGGGCTCGCCAGGTGGCAAGAGAAAGCTATTTGTGGGGAGCAATGCTCTTGGATACAGACGAGACTTCATGGAGGTGGAAATTCTCTGTAGTTTTTTTTCTTTCTTTTTTTCTTTCTTTTTTTCTTTCTTTCTTTTGGTGCACCGTGTGTCTAGGAACTTTGTCATGTGAAGCTGAATCATCAGCCACGAATGGATACAATGTGATACTGCAAAGGCCATGATCGATTGCCTTCTATTTCCAACCATATTCTCTCTAACCATCTGGTCTGGATTTAACATATTCCTTGTTCTTCTCTTTACCTTTACTCCCTGTTCCCTCTTCTCCCCCTCGCCCGTGCCTGCCACAGGTGGTGCCCTCCGTGTCCAATGGCCTTCTTTCGGACTGGGAAGGAGTTGCTGCCATTTGGGAGCATGCGCTTAAGTAAGTGTGCCCTTAGTTAACTATTCAAATAAGCAGCACTCAGGTAAGCATGGTAAAAAAATGAAAAGATCGCCTATTTTTTTATTGTAGCACGCGATTCTAGGTGAGCATTTTGCTGTCACAGAGTCTGGCTACCGGTGGACCCCGACCCCAAGAAGCATGCGGTGCTGCTGGCAGAGCCGTCGTTTACCAACTTTTCTCAGCACCACTCCTCTCTCTCTCCCTTTTCTCCCCCCTCCTCTTTCTCAGGGACCGCCTATTAGTGGACCCCAAGGAGCATGCAGTGCTGCTGGCCGAGCCGTCATTCAACCCACCAGCAGCGAGGGAGAAGACCATGGAGCTCATGTTTGAGACCCTCGGGCTCTCAGCAGTCTGTCTTGCTCTCTTTCCCCACCCGTATCCTCTATCCCAGAGACCGCCTACTGGTAGACCCCAAGGAGCATGCAGTGCTGCTGGCAGAGCCGTCCTTCAACCCGCCAGCAGCGCGTGAGAAGACCGTGCAGCTCATGTTTGAAACCCTCGGGCCTCCGGCGGTGTTCCTTGCAAGGAATGCTGTTCTGACGTCTTTCTCCTGTGGAAAAGCCACCTCGCTTGTTGTCGACAGGTGTGTTGGTAACAGGATGCAGGTATAACAGTTTCGACAAGGCTGCAGGTAAATCTCTTTCTCCCCGCCAGCGGTGTTCCTTGCAAGGAATGCTGTCCTGACGTCGTTCTCCTGTGGAAAAGCCACCTCGCTTGTTGTCGACAGGTGTGTTGGTAACAGCATCTAAGTTGCCAAATACGCTAGGGACACTTTGCGTTTAGCGGATATACGCTGGCGTATACACGCTAAACGCTAAACACAAGCGAATACGCTATACGCTAGCAGAAATTTTTTCGGGGCAGCCCGACCGGGAAAATTGTGAATATGCGGAAAGTTGTGGAATTGCACGACGAGCATATTGCCGAAGTCGAAATGCACGTCCGCGATTTGTGCAAGCGTGGACGGCAATTTCCGCGCTGATCGGCAATTTCCCTCGACGATTGCGCGGATTGGAGGTTTTCCCCGTAATCAACTTTGGTGCTGTTCGCCAGCAAATCGAAATTTTGAATGAAAAAGATGGCATCGGCATCGCGACCGCATCCGGAAACGGAGGCGGAACCCACCTCCGAGGTTTGGGCGTAATGCCACTCGAGAAACTTCTGCGCCCGAAAAGCGAAATTACGCAACCGCATCGGGAACCTCCATCCCCACCTTCCCCCCAATGGCTGTGAACGGCAATGCAACGGCTGTGCCATCGCTGTCCTTCGAAAAACGGGGGATGGCGATGGCATAGCCTGGGGAGGGATGGTGTTTTGCCTGGGGACGAAGTTTCGTCCCCGCTTCCATATGCCGTCGAGGAGTTTGATTTGCTCGATAAGTGGGGGCGTTCGCCAGAACCCCACTTTGGTTTTTGGTTTGGACAATAGGGGAGGCTCGGCAGCATTTTTACGGGCTGACCAGGCTGACGGAGGTTAACGAACCCTAACTGACGGGATCAGGAAGGCGAGACTGACCTTCCTGATCCCTTTGCTATACCGTCATTTTACTTTTCAGTGGTGCTGGCGAACAGCCCCTTTGTTGTAGATCTGGAAGTGACGAGACGGCTGTACCTAAGTTGGAATATACGCTAAGGGGCTTTAGCGTTCAGCGTTCATACGCCAGAGTGTACACGCAATACGCGAAACGCTAGCGAATACGCTATACGCGACCCATATTTTTTGGGGGCAGCCCGAAAAAAAATCGTCTAAAAGATTCGGATTTTCGCGGTGAGCATTCCGCCAAAGTCGAAATGCAAATCCGCGGTCTACGCAAGCTGGGATCTGACTTCAAAGTTTCCAGGCATATTTGACAATTCGACTGTTGGATTTCAGATCTCATCTAGGCATTGAAACCCAACCCATACACCGCATTGAAAACCATCTCATCTACGAACTCAAACCTACTCAAAATCGACCCCCCAACAAACCTCACGCAACTTACCAGCCAGCCCAACTCCTACTTTTCGTTCCCGCTTCCAGCCGAGTTCCCGCCCACTCCTCTCTCTAGTTAATATGTCTACTCCACACGTCCCACCCCACCCGCCGATCGAACTTGGAAGAAATTTAGGGCACGTCTTAGTGAGAATAGGGAGTACATTGTTTTCCACCCTGCCCGGGAAAGTTTTTTCCTGCCCGGAAAAGCGTATCTTCGATCAGACCACTCCATCGCATCGCGTGCAAACGCTAGCGTATATACGATACGCGTATATACGCTAGACGCGTTTATTCCAACCTAGGGCTGTACAAATTTCAAATCTCAGAGTGGTTGGATGCTCTAGATGCAATGTGGTGAAGATAGGTTATGGGAGGGGGGATTGGTTGGAGACAACATTGGCGACTGTGGTAAACGAATTTCAACTTCGACCTAGGTTTCCCTGTCAACGATCTCTCCTACGCCTCCTCCTATACTATGCAGAGCAGATTCGCGCAACACTATTGCAGTCTAGCCTACGAACTCTGTATCATAAACCCGATTTAGGGTCGGGTGGTAATCTTATTATGGGAAAAAACATTACCTCTGAAACATATCCCCCTAGATTTCCCCCCTATAATAGCCCTGGCGGTTTTTTTTTGCCCTGCCCGGGAAAATGTTTTCTCTGCCCGAAAAAGCGTATGTCCAAATGGCCCCCTACGCGGATAGCGTACATACACTAGCGTATATACGCCAGCGGTATTCCTTGCAAGGAATGCTGTCCTGACGTCGTTCTCCTGTGGAAAAGCCACCTCGCTTGTTGTCGACAGGTGTGTTGGTAGTGGTGGTTCGTCTCTCCCCAAAGAAATCCGTTGCTTGTAGTGTTCCCCCTTTGTCTCTTTTGTCGGCCGTGTTCCTTCCTGGTCCAGTATGCTGTTCTGACGTCCTACTCTTCTCCTGTGGAAAGCCGCCTTGCTTGTAGCCGGCAGGTGTGTCTGGTTATAGGAGAGTTTGTTTTTTAACACGTTTTTCGACAGGAAGGTCTATTGCCAGAGGTACAACTCTTTGTCGCTGCATTAGCTATTGATTTTTTTCCGGTTTCCCTTCCTCCAGCACCCGGTTTCTCATGAACAATAATTAATCAGAGACGTCCCATGATATGTTGACGTATTTGTGCTTGATTCCCCCCGTTTCCCCTTGCCTCGCTTCCTCTGGCAGCGGCTTCTCATCCACAACAGTTGCTGCAGTGCACGATGGATACGTGCTGCAGAAGGTGAGACGTCCGTTTTGCAGCAATTTATTCTAATGCAAGGGTTGAATGAGTTCCTCGCCTGCGGCCCGCAATTTTACCTCGTCCTTGGTTCGCCCACTCAATCAATTGATTGGGTTCCTCTTCCTTGGTTCGCCCACTTCTTCTCCACCCCTATCCTCCACTCTCCATTCCCTCCCTTCCCTCCCCTCAGTCCCTCCGTCGATCGCCTGTGGCGGGGGATGCACATATAGAGTTCCTCCTTCTCCCCTCCTCGCCCACTTCCCCTCCACCTATTTGCACCCCTCTCCAAACCTCTCCACCATTCCCCCCCTTCCCTTCTCAGTCCCTCCTTCGCTCGCCTGTGGCGGGGGATGCACTTACAGAGTTCCTTTTTTTCCGCTGCTCGCCCACTTCCGTTCCACCTATTTGCACCCCTCTCCAACTCTCTCCACCATTCCCTCCTCTCAGTCCCTCCGTCGATCGCCTGTGGCTGGGGATGCACTTACAGAGTTTCTCCTTCGTTCCGTGGGCAGGCAAAAGGTATTACTGGGGTGAGGCACCTTTTGAGTCATGCAAAAGGTGTAAATAGGTTTGACCTCAAAAGTCATCTCAGGACCTCAGGCATGCAAAAGGTGTGAGTTGGGATGACCTTTGCATCGGCCCAAAAGGCAGTCGTGAAGGGTAGGTATGAAACCATAGTCATTCATTCTTACCTTGAAGACTTTCCATCCTACCAGCAACCCTTTCTTATCCCCTCCCTCTTTGCATGTGTTTTCCTTCAGGTCCGCCCTCGGTTCTCGTTTAAGCGAGTGTTGATTCGACCAGGCCAGTTCGAGGTATGCCGTTCCCTCACTTGCTTGCCGTTCACTCCGTCCCTAGCAACTCCCTAACTCCCAGCCTCAGCGTTATTTTCCCTAGTGAGCCTGAGAAATGCGAGTGTTGATCCGACTGGGATAGTTTGAGGTGTGCTGTCTCCTCACCTCCTTGCCATTATTTTCCGCCTGACCCTTGCTTGCGAGCCACTCTTCTGTGACACGAAGAAGACTGTGTGTTTACTGCTCCTCTGCCCCTCGCTCTTCCTCTTTCCCTCTCTCTCAGCTAGTGGACCAGGCCTACCCGCACACCACGGACAGTTACAGCCTGTACATGCAGAAGGCAACAGTGTGCCATGTGCTTGTCCGACCACCCCTACGTGTCTCCCCCCTCTCCTTCCTTTTTTCTGTTCCCCAGCTAGTGGACCAGGCCTACCCCAACACCACGGACAGCTACCGCCTGTACATGCAGAAGTCGACAGCAGAAGACATGAAGGAGACGGTGTGCCGTGTGCCCGATGCTCCCTACGATGGTGCGTGTTCCGTGAGTGAGACATACATGGGATTTGGTTTGGTTGATATACATGAGACCGTGTGCCAAGTGCCCAGTGTGTGTCCCCTATGATGGTGTGTTCACCTGTCGTTATCTGCTTGAGTCATTTGACAAGGCAACAGCAGCAGACATGAAGGAGACGGTGTGCCGTGTGCCCGATGCTCCCTACGATGGTGCGTGTTCCGTGAGTGAGACATACATGAGATTTGGTGTGGTTGATATACATGAGACCGTGTGCCAAGTGCCCAGTGTGTGTCCCCTATGATGGTGTGTTCACCTGTCGTTATCTGCTTGAGTCATTTGACAAGGCAACAGCAGCAGACATGAAGGAGACGGTGTGCCGCGTGCCCGATGCTCCCTACGATGGTGCGTGTTCCGTGAGTGAGGCATACATGAGATTTGGTGTGGTTGATATACATGAGACCGTGTGCCAAGTGCCCAGTGTGTGTCCCCTATGATGGTGTGTTCACCTGTCGTTATCTGCTTGAGTCATTTGACAAGGCAACAGCAGCAGACATGAAGGAGACGGTGTGCCGTGTGCCCGATGCTCCCTATGCTGGTGCGTTGCATTGCGTTGAGTTGCTATGTTTGCCAGAATTCTAGTTGCTGTGATGGGGTTTATAAGGCACCGTGTGCTGCGTTCCTGATGCTGCCTATGATGGTATGTATTCACCCAAAATTGATCTGCTTGAGTCATTTGACAAGGCAACAGCAGCAGACATGAAGGACACTGTGTGCTGCGTGCCCGATGCTCCCTACGATGGTTCGTTGCCTACTGGCTGTGGTGTGATGTAACGTGGTTTGCTGTGGTGTGGTGGTGTGGTGTGGTGTGGTGTGGTGTGGTGTGGTGTGGTGTGGTGTGGTGTGGTGTGGTGTGGTGTGGTGTGGTGTGGTGTGGTGTGGTGTGGTGTGGTGTGGTGTGGTGTGGAGAACATGAGACAGTGTGCTGTGTGCCCGATGCTCCCTACGATGGTGCGCTGCGCTTATTCACCTGATGCCATCCGCGTCCCTTGAATCTGTGACGCGTGGTGTGGTAACATGAGGTGTGGTTAGGTGTGGTGAGGTGTGGTGAGATGTGGTGTGGTGGTGTGGTGTGGTGAGATGTGGTTTGTAGCAGACCGTGTACCATGTGCCTGATGCTCCTTACGATGATGTTTGCGTGTGTGCTGCTATGTGCCTGAATCCGAGAGGCTGTGCTTTCCTGAATCTGAGTGGCTGGCCTGAATCTGAACGGCTGTGATGCTCCCTTCCCGTCCCGATGATGATGATGTGTGTTCACCAGATTCGCCTTGCCTAGAATGAAATGGCAGTAGTTTCAAGGAGTCTGTGCTTCCTGCATTTCATTCTGCTTGATATTCACTGGTGGTATGGTGGTTTTCTTTTGGCATTTCTCAAAGTGGTGTACTGCTTTTGAGTCGACTCAAAAGCATTTCTCAAAGTGGTGTACTGCTTTTGAGTCGACTCAAAAGCATTTCTCAAAGTGCTGTACTGCTTTTGAGTCGACTCAAAAGCATTTCTCAAAGTGGTGTACTGCTTTTGAGTCGACTCAAAAGCATTTCTCAAAGTGGTGTACTGCTTTTGAGTCGACTCAAAAGCATTTCTCAAAGTGGTGTACTGCGTTTGAGTCGACTCAAAAGCATTTTCTCAAAGTGGTGTACTATGTTCAACCCTCTCCTCTCTGTCCCACCCCTCTGCCCACGCGCGTCTGTCCTTCAGATCTCTCCTTCTCCAATGTCCCAACAGTGGCATATGAATTGCCAGACGGCCAGTGAGTGCTAGGGTTGAGTGGGATGTAGAGGGGTGAGGATTGGTGATAGGGCCGGGTGTACCAATGTCCCCACAGTGGCATATGAATCGCCAGATGGCCAGTGAGTGCTTGAATGGGATTGAGCGGGGGGGTGTTGACAGGTGTGTGGTTGGGTAGATTATGGAGTGGTTCTGGGGTTCGGTGGGGTGGTGTAGAGTTGGGCTAACTGCTGAACGGGATGCAGAGGGGTGGCACTAGATGGTGGGGTTTGGTGAACGGTTGAAGGAAGAAGCGGCATTAAAAAGGTTGGGTAGGTTTTGCTTCTACCCAACCCCACATCTGAATACAACCCAACCCAGCCCAACCGAATTCAACCCAACACAACACCCTTCCGACCAGGGTTTTGGAGGTGGGCAGTGACCGGTTCAAAGTGGCTGACACCCTCTTCAATCCAAGCCTGCTCTCTGTGAGTAGTACTACCACCACTTGCTCCACGTAAGTTACCTGCCTCTGTGCCCTACTCTTCTCTCCCCTCTTCGACTCTGTCTCTCTCGTTTTTTTTTTTTTTTCAATTCTTCGCTCGCTGCCCGTTCCCCCTTTCCCTCACTCGCCTATTCGCTCACTTCCTCATTCCCCTTGTTCCCTCTCCCCCACTGCCTGTCAGTCAATTGCTTCAGCCGACCCCTCCAGTGGGGGATGGACAGCAGAGGCCATTGCTGATGCGGCCAAATCACCGGGGATTGCGAGAATGGTACGAAGTGATGAGGGTTTTGAACGCTCAACACCAGAGCAACATGCGGGGTTTTGAGTTCTTTATTTTAAGGGTTAGGTTTCTTCGGAGTTGACTTGAAAGATGACTGGTGCCGTTGCTGATGGAGCCGAGGCACCGGAGATAGTGAGAATGGTACAAGCTTGGACGCATCGTGGTGATGTTGCTCTGCGCACTCCCTCCCTCCCTCATGTTGTCAACCCCTTCGCCGTCCCCTCCTCCTCCTCCTCCTCCTCCTCCTCCTCCTCCTCCTCCTCCTCCTCCTCCTCCTCCTCCTCCTCCTCCTCCTCCTCCTCCTCCTCCTCCTCCTCCTCCTCCTCCTCCTCCTCCTCCTCCTCCTCCTCCCTCTTGCTTGTTCTCAGGTGGTTGACAGCATCAGCAAGTGTGATGTGGATATCCGAAAGGATCTCTACAGCTCTGTGCTGGTGAGAGAATCATGCAGGGAGTCAAGGGGTATGATAGTGCTGAGAGCATCATGATTGGGGTGATGAAATGGTGGTGCTCTGCTCATGGCATGATGGTTTGGTTGGTAGTGGTTGACATCAGCAAGTGTGATGTGCATATCTGCAAGGACCTCTACAGGTCTGTGCTGGTGAGAGAATCATGCAGGGATGCATTGAAGCAGTATGTAGCCCTGATATCTTTATTGATTGACTGTGATGTGAACATTCGAAGGGATCTCTACAGCTCTGTGCTGGTGAGAGTCATATCAAGAACTACGTTTTTGGCAGCCATTGGCAGCTTTTGGCAGCTCTTGGAGTCACCCGTCTTTGAATCACTAGTCCTTACACCTTGAAAAAGGGAATCGCTTTTTTTTTTCCTGCCCGTGTGTGTGTCCATTTATGGGATTCATTCTCTGGCAGTTGTCTGGAGGCACTATGGCCATGCAGCAGATCAAAGAGCGCTTGGAGAAGGAGCTCATGGCGGTGAGTCACCACATGGCAACTAAGATCTTGATTCCCCTGCTCCCCCCTTCATCCCCACCTTTTCTAGAACATGATAGAAGCAGCTGCTTCTGCTTCTTTGAGTTTTCTATCTTAAATGGTTGTTTGTGGATCGTTCTCCTGTTGATTGTTTGACTACCTAGGTTATCTGTAAAAAGTTTCCACTTTTTTTTTCGTTATGGTATTTTCTCTGTGTCTAACCCTTTGCAGGAGGCCCCACAAACAGCAAAAGTGAAGGTTTTGGCAAGCGGCAATGTTATTGAAAGGAAGTTCAGGTATCGTACCAATGCACGTAACATCCTTCATCGTTTTCACAAGCCTTCGTTAATGTATCAAGACATGTCCACAACTGTTTTTTGGTGGTTTGTGTTGATGTACAGTGTATGGATTGGAGGTAGCATTCTCGCTTCCTTGGGTTCGTTCCAACAAATGTGGCTCTCTAAGGCAGAGTGAGTGGTTCAGTGCGCGTTGTACCAACACTCAACAGACTTTAAATTTGGTTTGATTAAAAAAAAAAGGTATTGACCACTTCGTTTCGCTTTTGTAGGTATGAGGAGCATGGATCTGCGTATGTGCATCGCAAATGCCCGTAATTTCATGTACTGAATATACCATCGTTTACCAAGGACTCATCGTCTGCTCTGCTTAACATTGTATAACGGCCGATTTTTGTAACGCTTCTTATCGTCTCAACAGTAATATAGCTGCAAGGACTCCCTTGCAACGAGCAGCTTTTAGCGAAATCGCAATCTTCTAGGGGCGTTGGTAGCAGCTGACCAATGACGGGCAAGCGTGGGGTCTCCCGCCAATTTCCGTCAGTCAAGGCACGGCCAAGTTCCGCAAGCGGGGAGGTACAGTACCTACGCTCTCGCCAATCCCCATTGCCACTGCACACTGATCTTCCGCCTGACCGCTCCATGCCGCTCCCAACCACGACCTCCACTCCGCTTCCCACACCTTCCGCAGCCTTCCGCCGCCTTCCGCCGTACTCCGCCCATCTTCCGAATCCGAACAGAGTCAGGGACCAGGTTGACCAGGGTTACCACTGCCTGGAATTCTCACCTCCCGTAGGATGTGTCGTGACGTGACTCCCCAAAGGGCTTGGTGTTGGTTGTCTGGTAGAAGTGGTGATCTAGGTTCTCCGTTAGGCTGTTGGGAGCGAAACGGTGTGATTGACTAGCTAACTGACGGACTAATTATTACGCAGCCCTAGGCGGTCAGTGACTGGCTTTCCTTGCTGACTTAGAGGTGGCTAGCGTGGTTGGTCACCTGGTGGAATTACACTTACTTGTAGCTCGATTTGGCTTCTAGAGAACTTAGCCGAACCCCATAGTTCAAAACCTTCTGGTGTTCGCGAGTATTCCAAAGGCGGTTAGGGCGTGGAGAGTCATGGCGAAAGTTTCGCTGCATGTTTACGATATCACAAACAGCCCGAATCCCAAGACGAACAACGCCATTCTTCAAATCAACAGGGTCACCAAAGACGCGCTCGGGATCGGCGGGATTTTCCATGGAGCTGTAGAGGTGCGCGTTGAATCATTTTGGAATGACGTCGCAGTGCTGGTGTAATGTTCCGTAGGGCTGTAGGTGCGTCGTAGTCATTTTGAAGTCAGGTTATAGAGGTCCCGTGGGCCGCTGTAGCTTGGGCTGTAGAGCTTCATCGTAATCTTTCATGTAACTCTGTGAATCCGTAGACGTAGCTGGATTCATACTTGCGGGAGATCTTCCATGAGACCGAGGAGTTTCTGTTGTGTTCGAAGCGAAACGGTTCTTAGCTCACGGCCTTGGGATTCGTTCAGTTCGGGATTAGCTAAGCAGCATCACGACGTGCCTTTTATCCCGTCTTACATTGAGCCATAGAGTTTCGTTGTAATGCTTGATTACGAACCGGCTTTTGGTGGAAGCTTCGGTGCGTCATGTCCTAGACAGGATCGAAATTGGTTTCAGTTTTTCATTTCCGATCACTGTGTGGGGGAGTGCAGTTGCGTTCTTGAAACTAGTCAAGCTATTGTTGACTGAAGTTACCTTCCGGTTTGTTACCAATTCTTCACGCGTTCGGTTGGTCTTTCTGATTAAAAAGAGCTCTATCCATACTACCATCTCTCTGATCTCCGTTCTGCGCGCTCTTGTTTTCATACTCTTTCTCCTCGCCCTGTTCGTTGTTGTGATGATTCCCCACTAGCGTGTCGACTTCCCTGCATTTCCCTCTCACACTTGCCTCCCTCCTTGTTTCTCTTCCCGTCATCCGTATCCCTCTTGATCTCCTTCAAAATCAGGTTTATGGCGAAGAGTGGTCATTTGGCTATTGCGAGCGCGGGTCAGGGGTGTTCAGTTGTCCGCCTAAGGGGAACCCCATGTACACATTTAGAGAGACGGTGGAGATGGGTGTCACAGGCATGGGGGAGAAGAAAGTAGGCGAGCTGCTCCGGAGATTGAGTAAAGAATGGCCAGGGCGCTCATACGACATGCTCGCACGAAATTGCAATCACTTCTGTGACGAATTTTGTCAAGCGCTCGGCGTTGGTCCTACTCCAGGTATGAAATTCGTAATTAGTTGAGGTGTCTTGGTGGAGTATGACATCTTGGATGGTCAAGCAATCGTCTGTTTTATGAAGTTCAGAGTATTGTAAAATCAGTGGTGTTGATTATTGTTGTCTTCACGCTTTTGTTTCTGTGACGCTGTGGTGCTATATGTGAGATCTTATCTGCTTGTGGCGCTATGCAGTGTGGGTCAACCGCTTTGCATATGCTGGAGATGTGACGTTGGAATTCTACGATCAAGCATCAACTCAGGTTTGTTCACCTCCCGTGTTAGCACTCCACATGCTTCTGTCCCATTCAAACTGCGCCTTTCACTCCCCACTTTGTGTCAAGTGACCTCAGCCCCTGCATTGTACGATGTTTCCTGTTCTTGTTGGCTATGTTGTTGTTACATGTTTCACCCCTCCATCATTGTCTCCCTCCCTGCATCCACTCTCCAGCTTTCTCAATTCCGTGATTCGATGACCCAGCTCAGCACCAGCACCTACAACTATCTCTTTGGCCCACCACAAACGCCACCACTCACAGCATCTGCATCCTTCCCGGCGGTGGCCTCTGCTGCTATGAATGGGGAAACTCGAGTGCCTGTGTCAAAGAGCATGGGTGTAATAAGGGAGCCGAAGGAAGGGGATGGATCCCCATTGCTCGCTGCAGATGGGAATAGAGAAGGTAATCGCGCATCCTTGCCTGTATTTGCTACAGTGGAGGCATCTTCAAGAGGTCAAAGTTAAGAGAGATGAGCTTATGAAGCCAGCAGCAGGTCTAATAATGCTAGTTACATATTTTAGAGGTGTTTCAGATTGAAATTTTTCTTGTAACTGTTCTTCTATAGTTGGCATTTCGTGCAGGAAGGCCTCTGTGTCATGGTTTTCCCGCCGGGGTCTGACACCCTGACACACCGCGACACCCTGAATTCGCCTGATCGGAATTGTGCTGTTAGTTTGGAGTGGTGCGAACCGACGGTCCAGATTGGCAGTGGTAAATGTGTGTGCTCATCACCATCCATCACCCGTCCTATCGTACATCTCCGACCGTCTCCAATCCAACCATCATTGTTGCACCACCTCCACCCCACATTACACATCACAAACTTCAATTTTTCAAAACAATCGTCCACTCCAGGATCCATGACTCCACCATGACTCAATAGTGGACAACGCTTCTGAAAAGAACTGACTGGTTTATTAATAGACTTCGCTTCGAAAGCGTAAACAGTGCGTCGGCTAGTTAACTGAAGCTGAAAACTGTGATCGTCTCGAATATTTTAATTTCCAAATTGTTTCGTCAAGCGACCCTAAACCCCTTTCTTCCATAGGAGCCTTCGATACTTGACTATTTACTAGTTTCCTCAATAAGGCACCGACTATTAATAATAACAGCCCCTCATTATCGCCATGTTCGGCGTGGAATTTCTATTCGGGGTCAGCCAAGCGAACAGTCCTGTCTGGATCAGCCAATCTCCAATCGCCAGCATCATTTGCCTGATTGCGGTCGTTCTCACAGTAGTCGGGTACGTCTCTGAGATTATTCAGAAAGGACCAGGGTTAAGTTTCCTAGCTTAGTGCTCATGGCTTTTTTTTTTCGCGCATGCGGTGTGAAATGTGTTACGAGCTGTTACTAGCATTTGGATACGCACCTGGAGGCATTACTAGTAGGCCGGCAGTTTTCATCTCTGGATTGGCGTATTCCCTCGATTCTGCCTCACGCGTTGCATCCTCTGTGACCGTCTCCCACCACTTTCTTCCCCCTGGAAAGCTGTGACGCTTTTCTCGTAAACCAGTGCTTGGTACTCGGTTGTTTTCTCTCCCAACCGATGAGAGTTTCAGAGAATCTTCGAGATTTTCAATTAATTGAGTTCTATGTAGTTGCCCTAGTTGTTGTGTCATGTGTAGCGTGGCTCCACGCGTTATGTTCGGTCCGCTTCACATATGTTTCCTTCACTTCTGTTTCGGTATTGTTTTTTGTTTTCCTTCTCCAAGTCGCTTCTCCCCGTGACACATCCATTCACGAATCCCTCCCTCCGGTCTTTGTTCCCGCCATCCATCCAGGGTGGTCTTCCAGCCGCGGTGGGCCATCGCTATCAGCCGCCTCTTTCAGCCAGCAGTGCTGTTTGAAGTTGACACCAAAGGTAAACAAAATGTTATCAGACAGTACGATTGGTTCTAACATCAACGGTTGATGGGCCATCGCCATCAGCTGCCTTTTCCAGCCAGCAGTGCTGTTTGAAATAGACAACAGTAGCAGAGGAAAGGACAAGACTATCAGTGTAATTAGCTTTCCACCTCTTTCAACCACGCAGTTTTATTTCAGGCTGGACCCAACGGTACGAACAACAACGTTATATATAATGGCTTGAAATCGACAGCAACAATAACAGAAAGCCCTTGAGATTCTTTCGTTTTCTTCCTTTGCATCTTCCAAGCAGCCGGTTTTATCATGGGATGTGCCCTCTCTGACACATCTTGAGGCTCTAATCCATGAAAAAGCGCTAGTCTCTGCTCCGTCCCGATTCTTTGTGCAATCTCCGCTCGCTCCGAGACCTCTCTCGACAACCTTCCCCCTCTCCAAGTTTCTTTACGTAGCATCACCTTCATGCAGTGAAGAACTTTTGGCCTTCTTTCAAAGAAACGAGTGAGCCTCGCGTCCCTACCTTGGCATATGACAATCAGCAATGAAAGGAGCTGTCACCAACTCTCACCTCCCCCTTCCCCTGTCATATGCTCCAGTTCTTTCCTGCTTGACTTCTCTTCCTCTCAGAGAAGGTTGTAGGCCAATCGACAATGGATCGAGCTCAGTACTACCCATGCTTCCGCTCTGCATCGGCTTGCATGATAACGATATTTTTTCCTGCTCGCCATTCCCTCTCTCTCAGAGAAAATTGTGGGTCTCACAATCGACGATGGTCCCAACGGCAAATTCACCAGCGAGGTGGGCTTGCGTTCCCTTGTGCTGCAGTGCGTTTTAGTTGACTCATAGCACACATTGTTTTGGACTTACCTTCAACTCACCCACGCTGCAGTGGGAGTTGCTATCATTATTTTTTGTCTGTTTTCCACTGATGCAAGCCTAAAGGGTGTGTTTCGAGATGACTTGAAGCATGCACTTTCTGTAACTTACCCCTCATCCATGCTGCAATATCGAATGGCATTGATCAAGCAGAAGCTACTTTGAGCCACCCTCTATCACAGGCAGATTCTAGAGCGACCTCATTTCGCGTCCTTCCCCTCTCTCCTCCCACCCATTTCCACCCATCCCCACCCCTCCCCACCCACTCTCTGGAGCAGACTCTGGATATTCTCAAGGCGCACGGGTGTTCGGCAACCTTCTTCCTTATCGGGTCTAATATTGATAAATACCCTGACCTCGTGGAGCGCATGGTGCAAGACGGTATGTGGTGTGGCAGTGCGGTGTGGTGGGGTGGTGTTTGGTTCACTTTAATACAGTGCAAGCTTGTACATTTCGGTGCTTTGTGCGGTGCGGTGTGGTGTGGTGGTGTTTGGTGCTTTTATATATATATGTATATATAAATATATGTTTATATGTATTCTGTTTACAGTCCAAACAAGTTGCTTCTCTTTTCGCATGGCAAGGTGGCAGGGCACGAAGTGGCACTTCTGATCATTCTCATACAGCTGTTCTTCCCCATGGCACAAAAGCAGGGCATGAAATGACCTCTTTGAAATATATAAATATGCTGCTCTTCCCTGTGGCACGATGGCAGGGCATGAAGTGGCGAATCACATGATGGCGGATTATCCAGGCTGCCTGCTCTCCACCGTACGTACTTGTGCTTTTCCGTGCGTCTCCACCGTTTATGTTCTTCAAATTACTCCCAGGTGTGCTCGTATGTGTGCTCATACTCCCACCCTCCTCATATTGCCACCCTTTTCATAGCACGGTCTTGCTTGCCAGTCCCTTTCCTCTACTCTTCGCTTGCCAGTTCCCTCCACTCCCGGTCCCCTCTCTCCCTCCCCACAGAAGCAATTTATGGCGTCACGCCAGAAGATGTGGACGCCACGCTCACCGCTTCTTCCTTTCCCTCTTGGCATGCGCCAACACCCCCCTCCACTTCCTACCCCCCTTTCGCCCCCACAAAAGCAATTTATGGCATCCATGCTTAATGTAGACGCTAAGCGCCCCCTTGTCTTGCTAGTAATTCTCTTCCCCCCCTTCGCTCATCGCTCCCCTCTCTCGCTTCCCGTCCCCCTCCTCCCTCCTCGCAGAAGCAATTCATGGCATCAATGCTCGAGGTGGACGCCAAGCTCTATCGCTTCTTCCCTCTCGACTCCCATGGCCGTCAAATCAAGTGGTTCAGACCGGTACGGCGTTCCTCTTCATCTGGTTTCTTCTCGAATCGCGTCGATATTTATTTCTCTTTGATTTGACCCTGCTTTCAACCTGTGTACCCATGGTTACAGCCTCACGCTGGGCTCCGTATTTCCCTCATTCACACTCACTCCATTCACTCACTCGCTCCTTCATTCACTCATTCACTCACTCACTCATTCTACACATTCCCACTCTCCTCACTCTCTCTCTCCTGCTCTCCGCGCCAGGGCTATGGCTTTGCCACGCCAAACATGCAGCACAGGGCGCACAGCCATGGGTACAGGCTCGCCCTGAGCTCCGTGTTCCCCCTAAGGGGGGTACTCGCCCGACTCACTCAACTCCACTCTCCACTCTCCCCTGTTGCTGCTTTCCCCTGCCAGGGCTATGGCTTTGCCACGCCACACATGCAGTACAGTGCGCACAGCCATGGGTACAGGCTCGCCCTGGGCTCCGTGTTTCCCCTGGATCCGCTCTTTAAGGGCTGCGGTGCTTTCCTTGCCCGCTTCTGCCTGTGGAAGGTGAGTGAGGTTGGGCCTTGTAATACGACAAGGATTTTGTGGCGCCTGAAGAGGGCAGCAAAGGGCGAACAGCCATGGGTACAGGCTCGCCCTGGGCTCCGTGCTTCCACTGGGAGGTATTTCCTTGTACCCTACCCTTCTGCTTGTGGAAGGTGAGTGAGTGGGCCTTGCTGCACGATAAGGCTTTGATCGAAGGCGCTCAAAGAATGTGGAACTTTTTTTCTGGCTGCTTAGAGGCTAGCTCTAAGCTTCGCAATCAGCTGATTCGCAATGTGCTGCCGCTTCCACTTGTATTCCCTCACATGCATCCCCACTCCTGGTGACTTTTGAGTCGACTCAAAAGTCACTTTGTATTCCCTCACATGCATCCCCACCCCACTCCATTCGTCCTATCCTTCACGCTAACCCTCCCCACTCAATTCGTCCAGAAGCCATCTTCTGAAAAGGCCTCTGATTCACACTCCCACTGCATCTATCCATTCCCTCCCCCGTATCCTCCCCACGCAGATGTACCCAGGAACCAATTTAAAAACTCTCATAAACACACCCACTCCATCCATCCATTCCCTCTCCTTTATCCTTCCCATGCATATGTACCCAGGGGCCATCTTCATGGTGACTTTTGAGTCGACTCAAAAGTCACCCACTCCATCCATCCATCCCCCTCCTTTATCCTCCCCATGCAGATGTACCCAGGGGCCATCATCATCCTTCACGATCGCCCACAGCAGGGCCCACAGACCAACCATGTACGCCCCGCTCTTTGCACAATCGTCTTGGTCTCGGCTGTTGCTTTTCTTTTGTTACACCTGCTTTTTGGTACTGCTGGCCTTTCTGTTGCTCCTGGCGCCTTTCATCCAAGTTTTTGTATCCGTTTCCTCTTGTTTTTCCCTCTCTACTCCTCTCATGTGAAAGCGCCACCTCTGCTGTTCTGCCGACTCTTGTCCACCATCTTACGCACCCCCACGGGCAGATTCTGCGGATTTTGCTGCCCGAGTTGAAGCAGCAAGGCTATAGAATAGTTAACCTGACCGAACTGGTGAACAGTGTAAAGTGCAGAGAAATCAGTCACGTGAATGGGGGAAAGCAGGACTAAGAAAGATGAGGGAGACAGCAAGGGTTGTGGTGTAGGAAGCAGCGAGCAATCGATCGGTGACCTGGATTGAACCTGTGGAACCACTGCAAGGCAAGGCATGTCTATGTGGGGGGGATAAGCGGTGAAGTACCTGCAACACACGTATGTCTTTAAATTAGTTATGGTACCAAAAAGGCGATTTCAATGGTAATTGTGGATATGCACATTCTTTTCATAGCTCAGAAACATAAAACATCTGAACGAAGAATGTGGAATGTTCAAAAACGGGAACTGAGTTGCTGAGGCCCATTTCATTTGGCTCTCGATATCAGGAGGAAATGACGGACCGCCCTGTTTGCGCGTTCTCGATTCCTTTTGGCGTGGCTTTGACAGCGACTCTCTCCGCGCTCTTGCCCAATTCCCGCGGGCAGTTTATTTTGTTATTTCCCACTATTTGTGACCAAAAGACAATATGGGAAAATACGAATTTACTTGGTTTCAGTATAGTCGCCAGTGGCAAAACTAAAACCCACTCGGATGACAAGCCAGATGGGAGGCATCAACCCTAAACACCTTGCCTCATGGTGTTTAGGGTTGATGCCCTGTACATGGCATACCATCCATGAGGGTTTTATTTTTTTTGTCCCAAACTGCGCGTTTGCCTGGACTCGACGAATATTGAGAATAACCTGTAAAGTTAAAACAACCTGTGTTTGTGGACTCAAAAGGGGAAACGGAGAAAACAAATGTTCCAGGGTATTGGACGCGAGCGCGGAGCGATGCGCTGTCAAAACCACTGCCCATTGGAATTGGAAACTAGAAAACATGGCGCTCCGTCATTTCCTCCGATATCAGGCTGCTTCGCCATGGATCGTTCACATGCCCAGACCTGGAAATAATTGCGCGACGCGACGACACTCAAATTTTGCTCAATCCTGTCGACCAAGCTCGCACCACGTTCCCTCATTTTTTATATTTCTCAATCCCTTGGAGCGCAACTTGCTCTACACCCGAAATCACGGTCTGGTCACTCTGCGTATTTTTTTATTCAACAGTTTCGGATCCCTTTGATTTCTTGCTTTTGGGTGAGAACAAATCTGACGCTACCCATATGCAATAATTGCAACCCCTTAGTACGAGTTCTCATTTTGCGCAGTTTCATTAATGATACAAAGTGGCCACGCTGACAACGCGTAGATACTTCAGGACTAGAATGATTCAAAAAATACAAAACCGTAGAGACAATTATAGTGTACATTAGGACCAACCGCAGTGAGACAACTGGACTCGTGCATCAGACTAGACAAGAATAATAGCGTTGACTATAACTTTCAAATGTAGCAAAAGACGGTATTTTTCAACCCACAAATTTATATGCATATTCAAAGAAGTTTTGCATTTTGCCTCAAGAAATGCAAATTTTCAAAATTATATAGCAAGAACACATAGTATTTATCTTTGATTAAATTTCTTAGAAGTGTCAACTTGTATATTGTTAAGTTCAGTTTTTTTTTCATTTCCCAGTATGATTAAAAAACTAAAGTCCAATACGTCACATTGAATTTATATTATACTTTGCATAACCTTGTAGCCTAAAACAACAAATAGCTGAACGGCTACTGCGTATTCATGGTGAACCATGCCTGGCCAAAGAATGTTTCGTCCGACAAAGCCGACACAAACTTTGTCGAGACTGTTGATGCCATTATCGCAAGAGCGCGTGTAGAAGTCCATGGGATTTAGAAATATCAAAAATTGGGTAGCGCGGTGCGAGGGTAGTCGACAGGATTGAGCGAAATTCGAGAGTCGTCGCGTCGCGCGATTATTTCCCAGACCTGTGCAACCCTGGGATTGCCGAATCGTTTCCGTCCCCTTGTGGCTTCTCTGCAAACTTTTTCCCGCCAACAGCTTTCCCTCAACCCCCTGTCGCCTAGGCTTCCTTCTTCTGACACGCAATAAGGGCCTTGTTCTGTGGCCCCTTAACTCAGAGTTCACTGGGTTCGTGGTGGCTTCATCAACTCAACCCTCACACTTGTGTACGTTACAATCACACCGAGCCAGCTAACTCAGAGTTAGCAAATAAGGGTTCCAAATACGCCAAGTTATAACTCAGAGTACGCTTCGTAGGAAGCATGCACTGAATCTTCTTTACGGGCAAGTTAACTCAGAGTTAGTGCTTTCCCTTACTCGGGCTTTTGGGTGAAAGTTGGCTGCACTACTCTGAGTACGGCTCGAGAGGGGTTACCTCAACAATGCCCACATTTGGTTCTTTCCATTTAGTCCCCATGCTGTGCTGTGTGAAGTTGAATTATTTTGCCTCATGGTCACCCTTTCGCACATGTTTTTTTCCGAAGGGGTGGCACTTCGGGTTGAGTCTAAAACTTTTAACCAGAACAACTTCGAGAACGCCCTTGGAACTTCCTCAACTCTGAGTTACGAGGCCTCAGAACACCAAGGTGAGTTACAACTCAAATACTCACACAAGCGTAATGATTAATTGTCGGTGTACTCACCCAAACCTACATGGCACGGTAACTCAAAGTTAGCTAACTCTGAGTTAGCGCCACAGAACAAGGCCAAGGTGCTAGGAGGATTGCCTAAGGGCGTGTAACATTGCGATGACCGAAGCCAAAATCCGACCATTTGGTTGGGGCGTGCGAATGCGAAGGGAGTAACACGATGGCGAGGGATGCGAGATTTTCCCGCCAAATGACCACGATAACGACCGATTCAGCAAACGCCCAAACCAAGCGACCGTACGTGCGACCACTTTGGTCACGAAAACATCCCCGCCGTGATAGTCACCCGTAGAATAAATTTGGGGAAACACCCACAGATAGCATTACGTGGTACTCCCCGAATTTGTCTCCGGAGGCCTATGAGGTTGCTAAACACTAGCATCTTCTCGTGCCCCATATAATCCACACCCACATCGAATGCTAAATTTTGGATTAGACATTGAAATTCTTATTACGGGGGTAGTTAAGGGTGGGTGCCCTTAAATCGACCACGCCACAACCATGGTCATTGTATCTACAGTGGACGCCCCAGGTGTTTGTTACCACTTCCCTCGCATATCGGCCAACATGACCAAATGGTCGGATTTTGGCTTCGGTCATCGCAATGTTACACGCCCTAATCGCATTTAGAACGATGTCAGGCGGTACACATCTCCCACATGTTCAGTTCTTGTATCGCGGCTCAAAACGATTTCACACGGTGGGAAGCGGTTCTCCAGGTTGACCGTTTTGCACCGTGACGAAACGAAGTTGAGTGTACAGAAGCTGTACAACCTGACGTCGCCCTTAGGGCGTGTGTAATTTTTTTTTCGAACTTCCGAAAGTTCGAACTTCTAGAAAGGTTATACATTGTGAAATACAATTGAGAGACTTTCGCTACGGTTCAAAGCGGTTCATGTTCGAACTTTGACCAAAACCCTCAAATCACACACGCCCTTAGGGTTGTGCTTCGCCTGTTTCAACACTGCCGAGTTTCTTGAGAGGAGAAGCAGGTCGTATCTTAGTAGCTGCTGGCGAAGTGAAAAGGCCTCTCGTTTGCCGCTGAATTCCACTATATTGGTAACCGTCGTTGACGCTGTCGTCGGATCAATTTCTTCGCGATGTTGGCTTCCCCAGGTCATTCCCCGCGCCACATCAGCTCGCCTCTTCCCGCTTCCGATCCTCCTTCGCCTCCTCCCGCTTCTAAGGACTCCCCTCCTGCAAAAGCTGCTTCAGCCAAATCATTACCTCTTACCGCCGCACTTACCTCTGCCGCTAACGTTCCTTCCGCCACCCCTCGGCGCGGGGAGCGCATGGGTCCGCCTCCCGCCAAGCGTCCGCGTCCCCGTCGCGCTCCCGTTGTTCTTGACGAGGACACGTATATCGAAGCAATAGAGAGGATTGTTCAGCGGGATTACTTCCCGGATCTTCCGCGGCTCCAGAACCGGCTGGAGTGGTTGGAAGCGGTACGATCCGGTGATCCCGTGCAGATTCGCGAGGCACAGGTGAATATTTTAAGAAGGCGCGCGGAAGCTTCTGCTGCTGGTGGGGGTTCGAGCCGCGGTAGCGGTCGAGGCGGTTCGTCAGTTGGGGGTACTCCTAGGTCCTCCCTGTCGACTCCCGCGCTTTCCGCGGGCGCTCCCAGTCCCGCGCCTAGCCTCTTATCCGAAGGTGGTTTAAGGACGTCGGAATGGGATAGAGACGAGGAGAGACTAACAGGGCGGAGGATAGGTAGCAGGGGGAGAGTAGCGGGAGATTCAGCAACAGCAGCAGCGGCGGCCGCGGCGGGGGCAGTGGGGACGGATGGAGTCGGGGAGATTGGAGAGGGAGAGGGGGGCGGAGGACCCGATACAAGCCTGTCGCTTGACGAATTTGTTAAGAGGTACACCAGCGAGGATAACGCTTCGTTTGTGGAGATTAAGGAGAAGGATAATCGGCGGCGCATGGCTAAGGTAGCGCATCTGCTAGCATTAGAACAGGGCCCAGGGAAAGGAGCGGAAGGGGAAAAAGGGGGGGAAGGCGGAGCAGGGGTGAAGCAGTTGACTGGCTCAGGAGAAACGGTGAAGCTTCTAACGGGGACGGGTGAGAACGAGGATCGGAAAACGGACGGGTTTGGGTCGTCGGGGCAACCGACTAGTACACTCGAAACGTGGAAATACACTGCGCGTAATGCGCTTATGTACCCGGCTGCTTGTAGAGAGGATGCCCCTTTTTCCGTGCGAGAAAAGGAACTACGATCAGCAGGGCCGCCTAAGGAAGTCCATAAAGCGAACACGAGGTTTCACGGCAGTGTTACGGGTGGTGGTAACCAGGCGGCGCAACAGCAGAAGCAGCCGCCAGAGGAAGTCGCTGCAGCACTGTTCACGCCGTTACCGGGGGGAACCCCTTTGCCTTACACAGACCCTTCGGGGGAACGCGATGGGAGAAAGAGATACGATTTGGAGGATCTAAGGCGAACACCTGTAGGAGTGGGGGTAGCAGGAGGAGCAGGCGGAGGGGGTGTAGGAGGAGTGGGAAGAGGTG